CTGAACGCTGAGTTTGTGTCAGCAGTGTTTGCAATTCTGGAAGTTTCCTAGACTGAGTGCTTCAAGTACTGATTTAGCATCTGTCAGCATTACCACATACTGTGAGCCAAGGTTGGTATTTAGCAGTTTCACTTTACCTGAGTATTTGTTGAGTCTGCAATGTCCTGTGCGTACGTGTTCTGAGTCCAGTATTTGTAACTTTACCACTTTGGGGGGGGGGAGGTGTCATTTCATGCATCATCATTAGGTCGCAGGTCCTTTGCAGCACATCGCTCTCATCACGGTCCACCTGAAAGGTACTCGGTTTCCCACCAGCTCTCCTGCCTCCTGTACTTTTTTTTTTTTTTAATTATTCAAGACATATCTTATATCCTATGCATTTTGTGCATTTAACAATAAAATACACCTTTTATTAAAAATCATTAAAATATAGGAAAGAAAACAAAGTTAAACTTGGACATTTGCTTCTTCTGTGTTCATCATTAAAAGGTATGCTGCGCTGTGGTTTACAACCAGGCTGCACAATCTGCACTTTTTGGCCCAACACATCCGATTTCAACAAACTCCTAATTAATCCCCTTTTGTGAGTCCATTCAATTTTTCTCACCAAAATGGGGTCCGGAATCCACATGGTGATAAATTTTAACAGTATTTACAAGTTAAAACATCAAGCATTAAAAAAAAAAGCACACATTCTCATGTTCTGTAAATGCTAAACAAAAACAGGATCTATGTAATTTACAAATTTTAAACTGAAAAAAAAAACACTTTAAAATTAACAAACTGGGAGGAAAAGGGAGTGATTTAATGACAGCCTACCTGAAAATTCTTCCAAACTTGTATAATATATGCAGGCCTATGTTGAGACTACTGGCCCTCACTGAAAGACAGGTCAAAGCCAATGAGTTAAATTACTCCTGCTCTATCAGTGATCTTCTTCATTTAACTCTGCTTTTAACCCTCCTAGATGACTAACTAAATCCTCCTAGATGACAAACTAAACCCTCCTAGATGACTAACTAAACCCTCCTAAATGACTAACTAAACCCTCCTAGATGACAAACTAAACCCTCCTAGATGACAAACTAACAAGGACAAAGATGATAAAAAGTAAGAGGATAAGCCAAGAAGTGCAGTTAAGAAAAAAAATATCATCACCCAAAAAAAAAAAACAGTGAGTGAGCTCCCTGTGTAGGTTTCGGGGCCCCATTTTGGGAATCCCCCCCCCCCCCCTCCCAATTTAAGCATTTCGTAAAAGACAACTTCTTATAAACTTCCAAGGAAAGTTCTGGTTGTTCATCCACTTGGACTTTGTGCCAGGGCCTGTCACAGAGTTGCCTAGCATCTACATAGAGAGATATACCAAGCTAACTGTATACACACAGGACTGATCCTTCCCAGCTATTGGCATAAACGTAACAGATACACAAAGGACTTCTTTGGTACATCGAGCACGTAGTAAGTAAAGTAAAGGTCCCTTTTCCACGCCTTTAGGCATATAGGGCTAGGCCTATAGACCAATCAGCGGCCATTAAGTAATGCAACTAACTTCATTCCAGCCCCCTTTACTTTATAGGACATTACCTGGTAGCCATTTTAGGCTGAGTCTACCTGGGAGCTACGGTCAATTTTGAAAGCAAACCAAATCCTCCTTGAGCCACCTGAAACCTAAATTTCGGGATGGTAGTAAGAGTAATAAATAGATCATCATCATTATCAGTTTCCACTTCGGCCATTAAGTATTGCTGGGAGGAACAGTTTGCAATCTTTTACTTGATGGGCAGCAATGGTTACTGTCAAATCCTCGTCGAGGCAGAATCTCTTTAATGTTCTCAATCCATCATCTCCTAGGGCGTCCTCTTGCTTTCACATCAGGTGTGTTGATAGCTATTCTGGCTGCATTGAATTCTTACTAGAATACCAAACCATCTGACCTATTTATCAACTAATTTGCTGCATGGCGTTGTTCCCACAATCTGTCTGATAATATCATTTCTAACTTTGTCTCCAGTGGTTAAGTTGGCGGCTTTTCCTCAGGTGTCATTTTTACTCAGGTTACCTTTTGATAATACCAAAGTCTGTCACTGGTAGCACAATGTTGGTATGAATATGCTGTTTATAATCTGTTTCCTAAATAAACGGATGCATCCAATAAAACCCCTTGATCTCACAGAATCTCTTCATGGCAATAAAAACTCCATCAACAATAATGAATATAGGGAATTAAATCACTGATTACAACACCTCCACCTGAGGTAATACTGACAATACAAACCCCGTTTTCTCCCAAACCATTGACAAAGAAAACACACTTATGTCAAAGGTTCATAATTTAAGAAAATAGAACATAATGAAAAATAAGATCTAATCCATCATTTTTTCCCCCGTATATTTTTTTACATTTTTGCATTCATCAGCTGTAAACTTGGCAGAAAGTTCTGGTTGTTTGTCAGCTTTAGGGCCTTAGTCTTGTTCCAGAACTTGAGTTTGTGTGCAAATCCATTTTACAGATCTGGCTTATTTGTATGCAGGCTGTTGGTAACTCTCAGGCAGATGCACTCTAATTCAGAGGAAATGTTCCTAATTAGCCGACTTTTGTGACATGCTTGTGGAAAGGGGGGGGGGGGGAGCGGGTCTCTACCCCCACCTCAATGTGATCCTAAAACCCACAAAGGGAACGTTCACCATAACTTCATCATCATCATGTTGTTGGAACTCCTCAGCAGAATTTAGGTCTCATTACAGCCTGCCTGAAAGAAACTCAAGCCTCTCGCCAGCTCTCTCGACTCGTGCACTTTCGCATCCAAGGCGTCACTATTATCTTGTGCCCATCTTCTTCTTGGTCGGCCCCTGACCCTCCTTCCTGGTAACATGCCTTCTGCTATTATTTTTCTGAATTCCAACCTCCCCCCGCCCCCTTTCCTCAAGAAACAATTGTAGACAAGGGAACCGCTACTGAAGATCAATGGTCTCCTGCGATGTGTGCTCCTGTTGTGGAGTTTGCTTCTTAAATAGCTAAATTCTAAAAGGTATCAACTAATGTGTATACAATACCAAAACCCACATTATAAATTACTGTCTGTCTGCAGCAAATATGATCAAACATTACCACTTACTTCAGTGTTTAAATAATTCAAATAACCATGTTCTAATAATTACCACTTACAGCAAATGTATGCACAGTTGAAATAACCGTGATCAATTACAGAATATGTACATAATTTAAATAACCATGATCAGTTATGAATATGTACACAATTCAAATAACCATGATCAGTTACAGAATATGTACACAGTTCAAATAATCATGATCAGTTACAGAATATTGGAATGAACCTTGGTTTGCCACGTCTCTTGAGAAGTACCTTGGCTTACTACGTATCTGCTTTTGCCATGGTTCACTCTCTATGATTACTGCAACATAACATACTTGCCCTGCTCTAACGTCTAGGACTGAAACACAAACGCCACTCGGCTTCCTTGTACATGATATCAGTTTATTCTGTTCCATTTATTCGACATGCTCCAACAATTATTCACACTTTCATCGCTTGCGACATATTCAAACACTAGTCATTTGCGCGATATAAAGACTCCATCTTCTGCTAACACAACCGTCTTCTATGACTTCTGGTAACCAACTGACCACGAGGCTAGCTCAGGCTTTCCCTCGCTTACTCCAGCGGCCACAAGTATCCCGTGCCGTCACTTGTAGCACGGACTTTCTGCTTGCCACAATGTACTCGTGGGGACCATGCAAAGCAGGGTCACCACAAATATGTACACAGTTCAAATAACCATGATCAGTTACAGAATATGTACACAGTTTAAAAAAAGCATTATCAGTTACAGAATATGTAACTTATTCAAATAGCCATGATCAAATTATTTCACCTACAGCAAAGTGTACACAATTCCACTACTCAAACTCTGTACAAATACGACTCTGCATCTCCAGATGTGAATGCGGCATCTAACAACAATAAAAAAAGATAAAGCCGGGAGATGTGAACCAGCGTCACTTGCACCAGTACAGACAGCTGATAGGAAACTGTCCGCCTGTGTCGACATCTGCTCGCAAACCATAGCTACGGCGATGCTATTCCATTTACCCCAGAGTGTTAACTCTCGTACCCATTATCTAGAGGCTGGGTGAAACCTTGGGAACCGCCAGGTTTTAAACACTGGCTGTGGGCTGCAGCGAGTTGCAGCTGGATTTGAAAGCAAGTCTCCTATCGACTGCACTAACACGGCCCCCACCTAACAACAATGTGTGTGTGGAACTAAAATAAAGTGTAGGAAAAGTGACACGTTCAGGGAAACGGACCTAACCGGAAGTAAAGGCTCTTTAGGACGAAACAGTTCAGCTCAACTTCTTGGAAAAGAAGGGGTTAAAATAACAACTAGTTGGTTAAGACCGAAAGAGTTAAAGCAAACCTCTGAAAATTGGAATTCAATGATCCTGTCTTAACTCAGCTGACAATCAACATGTGTTTGTTGGGTTCTGCTTGCATCACACACTTTTATTAACCCTTTGAAGCTCGTATAAGTGTTACACTTACCCACTTTAGCCCAAACTTACTCTAAATCATGCCTTCTCATGATGTGATTTTTTTTTTAATCATTCTTCCTTTTATTTGCATTCACAAATAGTAAACTTTGGTGGAAGATTTTGTTCATCCACTTCCGGACGCTTGTCTTGTCCCAGATCTGGTTTTGCATGCACACCTGTTTTACAGATCCGGCTTATTTGTATGCAGACTGTTGGCTTTTTGCCTCAGAGGCAGATGCACTTGACTTCAAAAGAAATACCCCTAGCTGGCCATCTTTTACAACACTCATTGTCAGTGGTCTATTTTTATACCCCCCCCCCCCCCCCCTAATTGGGGCCGTGTAGCCCGCACAAGGATTAACTCATTCAACCCAGACATTTATTAGTAACAGTACTAGCTTCTTAAAATAAAACACAGTAGCATCCAATCCACCAGCGTCTGACAGAGTTAAACATGAAACACAGATCGGGAATGTAAAGTCAAATTGTTTTTGTCTGTAACATTGCCGCCCCTTACCAAGCTCGGTGTTGGCCTGTTGGCATCCTCACTGCGTCTGTCTGACAGAGGTATCAGCGTAAACCCATCCGGCCCTTCCCAATCCCGCAGCAACAAATGCCCGTTGGCGTCGCCATTGCTTCCCGTGTTCCTGGTGATATGTCCATTTGGTAGAAAGTCTGCATCACTCTTTGAATGTGGAAGGTGGTGGGTGCCCAGGTGGTGGCTGTTCAGTTCAGAAGAGCTTCGTACGTACGGGAGCACTTCCTTGTAGTGGGCTGCCTGGTGTTGGTCGTATTTAGCCTGTGAACAATTGCCAGATCTCATTAACATAACATAAACAAAACAAAACAAAACTTCTGCGTCTGTGGCTTAGGCGCAGCAAATGTGCCCCCCCCCCCCCCCCCCCCCCCCCAAAAAAAAAACAGACATACACACTTACATAGGTGTAGGAGAAGAGATGGGGGAGAGAGAAAGAAAGAGAGAGGGAGGAAGACATAAAAAGAAGGGGGTGGGGGAGAAACAGAGAGAGAAAGACAAAGAGAGGGGAGAGAGAGAGAGAGAGAGAGAGAGAGAGAGAGAGAGAGAGAGAGAGAGAGAGAGAAATTGAATCCCCTAGCCAGCAAATTCACACCTTATTCACAGAAACACAGACCTTTTACCTAGTAACATTCCTCACAGTACCCACTTTGAGAACCCCTGGTATAAATGAATAAACAATCCCTGTGTAAATAATGGTATCAAAACCACTGTAAATTCTACATGTCCTACTCTTTACATCTCTTCACAACCCCTACAGAGACATAATACCCACTTTGAGAATCACTGGCTTAGATAAACAAACAACCATTGTGTAAATAGTGTCACATTCAGGTTCTGTGAGAATAGCCTCTCTGTTTCTAGCACTGACATTTAGGATGGTATGTATTGAAGTGTGTTTAGTTTGAAAGCTATTTGTGTTTAAAGTGGAAAGGACCTACATGAAAACTATATGTGTTTAAAGTGGAAAGGACCTACAGGAAAACTATATGTGTTTAAAGTGGAAAGGACCTACATGAAAACTATATGTGTTTAAAGTGGAAAGACCTACAGGAAAACTATATGTGTTTAAAGTGGAAAGGACTGACTTTATTGCATTGGGTTTTCACAGGTTGGTTTCTCTCTGCTGAACGGCTAGCATCACAAAAGCTTCATAGAAAGCAAGAAGTGAGTAGCTCCAGGGACAAAGTGCAAAAGGATCTTTGCAATGCCCAGGATCTTGCAATCCCCAGGAAATTGCATCCCAGGAATCTTGCAATCACAGGAATCTATGCAATCCCCAGGAATCTTTGCAATCCCCAGGAATCTATGCAATCCCAGGAATCTATGAATCCCCGGAATCTATGCAATCCCCTCACAAAAATCTATGCATAGAAAGCAATCCCCCAGGAATCTTTGCAATGATCTAGCAATCCCCAGGGAAATGCAATCCCCAGGAATCTTTGCAATCCCCAGGATTCTATGCAATCCCCAGGATTCTATGCAATCCCCAGGAATCTATGTAATCCCCAGGAATCTATGCCATTCCCAGGAATCTATGCAATCCCCATAAATATTTGCAATGCCCAGGAATCTATGCAATCCCCAGGAATCTTTGCAATGCCCAGGAGTCTTTGCAATGCCCAGGAATCTATGCAATGCCCAGGAATCTATGCAATTCCCAGGAATCTATGCAATGCCCAGGAATCTATGCAATGCCCAGGAATCTATGCAATTCCCAGGAATCTATGCAATGCCCAGGAATCTATGCAATGCCCAGGAATCTATGCAATCCCCATGAATCTATGCAATCCCCATGAATCTTTGCAATCCCCAGGAATCTTTGCAATGCCCAGGAATCTTTACAATGCACAGGAATCTATGCAATCCCCAGGAATCTATGCAATGCCCAGGAATATATGCAATCCCCAGAAATCTTTGCAATGCCCAGGAATCTTTGCAATCCCCAGGAATCTATGCAATGCCCAGGAATATATGCAATCCCCAGGAATCTTTGCAATGCCCAGGAATCTATGCAATCCCCAGGAATCTTTGCAATGCCCAGGAATCTATGCAATCCCCAGGAATCTATGCAATGCCCAGGAATATATGCAATCCCCAGGAATCTTTGCAATCCCCAGGAATCTATGCAATGCCCAGGAATATATGCAATCCCCAGGAATCTTTGCAATCCCCAGGAATCTATGCAATGCCCAGGAATATATGCAATCCCTAGGAATCTATGCAATGCCCAGGAATATATGCAATCCCCAGGAATCTATGCAATGCCCAGGAATCTTTGCAATGCCCAGGAATATATGCAATACCCAGGAATCTTTGCAATGCCCAGGAATCTATGCAATGCCCAGGAATCTATGCAATCCCCAGGAATCTTTGCAATGCCCAGGAATATATGCAATCCCCAGGAATCTTTGCAATGCCCAGGAATCTTTGCAATCCCCAGAAATCTATGCAATCCCCAGAAATCTATTGCAATGCCCAGGAATCTATGCAATACCCAGGGATCTTTGCAATGCCCAGGAATCTATGCAATCCCCAGAAATCTATGCAATCCCCAGGAATCTTTGCAATGCCCAGGAATATATGCAAACCCCAGGAATCTATGCAATCCCCAGGAATCTATGCAATGCCCAGGAATATTTGCAATGCCCAGGAATCTATGCAATCCCCAGGAATCTATGCAATCCCCAGGAATCTTTGCAATGCCCAGGAATCTTTGCAATCCCCAGGAATCTATGCAATCCCCAGGAATCTACACAAAAACTGCACATGTTAATACAGTGTTGCCCTGAAAATAAGACCAGATTGTATACTAATTTTTGCTTCATAAATTGTATTAGAGCTTATTTTCACGGGACATCTTATTTTCTTTTTCAGATCCCGACCAAAAATATCATTTATTCATGTACAAAATTTCATAGTTTTTCAAATACGGTCATAGATAGATCATCTTCTTTTGGAACATCAGCTTTCAAGTGAGGTATCTTGAATTTTGAGCCACATCTGTTCACTATCAAGTGCGCACCAGTAGAGTCTGTACTCCGACTTGCCACTCTGTAACAAGTCTTTCATTCTAACTGATGATCTTTGGTGGGGGGAGAGCTTATATTAAAGGCATCATGACTGAGAAAGAGAAGCAACAACAAAATTCATGATCTGTTTAAATCACCAATGATCGTTGGCATCATAAGAGCTAATGGGTTGAAACTGCTGAGGCACATTGAGAGAATGTCAGATGACAGAGAGGTAAGAACTGTATACACAGGGGAGATGAATGATCGTAGACCACAAGGCAAACCAATAAGACGATGGAAGAGATAATGTCCAGAGAGACCTGCAAATACTTGGTGTTACCAACTGAAAAGAGAAGGCCAACTGGAGAGATAAGTGGAGGCAGGTGATAACTGCAGCAATGAAGCCTCAAGGGCTCGGAATGCTGAAGAAGAAGAAGAAGATCCTGAAAAATCTTGTCAGAGAATATTTTTGGGGTAGGTCTTATTTTGGGGGAAACATGTTATCAAGGAATGTGGAATCAAGGATGTTCAAGAGAAGCTCTTCACATGAACAATGATATTAGCCACAGGTACTGGACTGGATTCCACCCATATTGAAAATATTGCAGAGGACAGAATGGAATTGAGGAGTAGACAGCAAGTGGTAAGTCCTATGTAACATATAGACAGTGAGTGGTGAGTCCTATGTAACATATAGACAGTGAGTGGTGAGTCCTTTGTAACATATAGACAGTGAATGGTCAGTCCTATGTAACATACAGACAGTCAGTGGTGAGTCCTATGTAACATACAGATAGGCAATGTGTGGTGAGTCCTATGTAACATATAGACAGTGAGTGGTGAGTCCTATGTAACATATAGGCAATGTCTGGTGAGTCCTATGTAACATATAGACAGTGAGTGGTGAGTCCTATGTAACATATAGACAGTGAGTGTTAAGTCCTTTGTAACATATAGACAGTGAGTGGTCAGTCCTATGTAACATACAGACAGTCAGTGGTGAGTCCTTTGTAACATTCAGATAGCATGTGTAACATATAGGCAATGTGTGGTGAGTCCTATGCAACATACAGACAGCATGTGGTAAGTCCTATGTAACATATAAACAATGTGTGGTGAGTCCTATGCAACATACAGATAGCATGTGGTAAGTCCTATGTAACATATAGGCAATGTGTGGTGAGTCCTATGCAACATACAGATAGCATGTGGAAAGTCCTATGTAACATATAGGCAATGTGTGGTGAGTCCTATACAACATACAGAGAGCATGTGGTAAGTCATATGTAACACATAGGCAGTGTGTGGAAGTCCTATGTAACATACAGATAGCATGTGGTAAGTCCTTTGTAACATATAGGCAGCGAGTGGTAAGTACTATGTAACATATAGGCAGCGAGTGGTGAGTACTATGTAACATATAGGCAGCGAGTGGTGAGTACTATGTTACTTATAGGCAGCGAGTGGTGAGCACTATGTAACATATAGGCAGCAAGTGGTGAGTACTATGTAACATATAGGCAGCGAGTGGTGAGTACTATGTAACATATAGGCAGCGAGTGGTGAGCACTATGTAACATATATAGGCAGCAAGTGTGAGCACTATGTAACATATAGGCAGCAAGTGGTGAGCACTATGTAACATATAGGCAGCGAGTGGTGAGCACTATGTAACATATAGGCAGCGAGTGGTGAGCACTATGTAACATATAGGCAGCAAGTGGTGAGCACTATGTAACATATAGGCAGCAAGTGGTGAGCACTATGTAACATATAGGCAGCGAGTGGTGAGCACTAAGTAACATATAGGCAGCGAGTGGTGAGCACTATGTAACATATAGGCAGCGAGTGGTGAGCACTATGTAACATATAGGCAGCGAGTGGTGAGTATTATGTAACATATAGGCAGCGAGTGGTGAGTACTATGTAACATATAGGCAGCGAGTGGTGAGCACTATGTAACATATAGGCAGCGAGTGGTGAGCACTATGTAACATATAGGCAGCGAGTGGTGAGCACTATGTAACATATAGGCAGCGAGTGGTGAGCACTATGTAACATATAGGCAGCAAGTGGTGAGTACTGTGTAACATATAGGCAGCGAGTGGTGAGCACTATGTAACATATAGGCAGCGAGTGGTGAGTATTATGTAACATATGGGCAGCGGTGGTGAGTGCTATGTAACATATAGGACAGCGGTGGTAAGTTCTATGTAACATATGGATACCACAAGAGGCTGTTGATGATAATGATCATCATGACAGCAGTAATACACGTACCTTGTTATACAACAGAACTCCAAAAATAGCTACAAGCATGCCAAGAACATTCAGGGGTCCGACAGGATTCTGCAGGATAATGAGTGATCCTCCGATGATGAAAATCCTCTTGGTGGCATTAGCCACAGCGTAGCTGAGTGGAGTCACCAGGGCTAGCACGGAAAATGCCAGAACGTTGTGCATCATGTTGAACAGGCCGGCACACGTTAGCATGATCAATGTCTGCGACACTTTCCCTCCCTCCAGCTGATGGAGTAATAGAAGGGGCATTATAATTTATAGTAGCTGGTTCACAACTTATTAATTTCTCTTACTCTCTGTATCTTTCTCTTGCAGTATGTCTCTTTTCTGCTTTCCTTGTCTCTTTTACTATGTCCCTGTCTCTCTCTCTTGCTATTTTCCTATTTCCTTTTTTCTCTCTTGCTCTCTACACATCTCTCTCCTATTCTCTACTGTTCCATATATCGCTTTTGCAATCTGTCTGCCTCTCTCTCTTTAAGTCCCTATTTTGCAATCTCTCTCTTTTTGTTATCTATATATCTAGCACTGTTTACAGTTCTTCTGCTTTCTTCATATCTCACCATCTTTCTCTCTACCACCCTTTTCTTGTTACTCTCAATATTTTTTCACTATCTTAGGAGTTATTTTTGTCCTATCACATATACATCACATTTCTGTCAATTTTAACTCTCTTTTCCTATATTCTGCCAAACAAGCTAGAGAAGGAAAATTTCTAAAATTTTCTCCATCCATTAATCTCACTTGATTTGTTCCCCGTGAGGATTTCAGGGCCCCATTGTGGGGAAAACAAAATTACACCCATTGCCTCCCCATAATTATGTCATTAAGAGTCAACTAATTTGGAGCTCTCTTCAAATTTGGAGTGCAACTGCCTGAGAGGCAAGGAACCAACAATCTGCATACAAATAAACAAGATCTGTAAAACGGATGCACATGCAAAACTCAGACCCTAGAACAAAGCCAAAGTTGAGAAATGGACGAACAACCAGGTCTTTCTGCTGGGGTTTACAGCTTGTAAAGGCAAACAACAACTTGGTCTGTGTCTTTTGCTCTCTCTGTCTTAACTATTCCTTCTCTCTCTCCCTCTATGTGTGTGTGTGGTGTGTGTGTATGTGCGTGTGTGTCTCTCTCTGCATATTTCCCATTCTGTTATCTTAACTCTGGCACTATGTGTGTATTTTTATATATATATATGTGTGTGTGTAGGTAGGTAGGTTCGTATGTGTGCGTATGTGTGCGTATGTATGTATGTATGTATGTTTGCGTATGTATGTATGTGTGTATGAGTGAGTGAGGGGTGAGAATTAATCCATGCGTGTGTGTACATGTACATTTGCCATCTATGTTTTTTGTGTTTTTTTTCCACAATATTAATATTATGCATATCATTATAAAACATGCTTTATTGATATCACACAATTGCTGTGTGAAAGATGAGTGTATTGGAAAGGGCAAAATTTAAGAAAGGCCTGCATGCAAAATTTGTTTTCCTTTGAAAATCGGGTTTGTTCGTTCTCTGCGTCTGTTTGTTTACCTCTTTTGCTGCCTTTGAGTCACCCATTCTTCTTCTTCTCTGCGTTCACCAATGTAAACTCTGGTGGAAAGTTCTGGTTGTACATCCACTTCTTGACTGAAGTCCTGTTCCAGAACCTGAGTGTTGCGTGTGCATCCGTTTGACAGATCTGACACATTTGTGTGCAGACTGTTGGTTCCTTTGACAGATCTGACACATTTGTGTGCAGACTGTTGGTTCCTTCGACTCTTACGACATGCTTTTGGGTAGGCAGTGGGTCTATTCTTTTTTTCCCTATAACAGGGCCCCGGAACCCACACGGGGAGTTTTCTGCATCTGTTTACCTCTTTTACTGCCTTTGAGTCACCCACTCACTTGCTACCTCTACATCTTTCACAGACACACACACACTTCATGGCACTCCCTTTCAACATAATCTTCTTCTTCTCCTGCTTGCTATCCTCCAATGAAGCTTCAGCTCTCTACTAATTCAAACCCTCATTACTGTGGCCACCTCCTGCAGCTCCTTTCCCATCCCCTTTCTTTCCCTTGCTTCAGACTTGTTCATGGTTGGCTGGATGCTGCAGCTGAAGTTATTTATGGGCTGGTGCAGCCAGTTATAAATTAACCTTCTGTAGTTACTTTCTAGTGCCATGCATGGCAGGTTATGGTGTTGCTACTTCTGTGGCCACTCCCAACTCTTCAATACCCAAGCAGCTTGTGATATGTGATTAACTTGTCTGTGAATCTCATCCAACGTCAATGTGTTCTCATACTTTTGATATCTAGGCACAGCCGACTAAAGAAATCTGGCTTCTTGGTTGTTAGTTTATTTGAAAGTAACTGATTAAAAAAAAAAAAAATGCCAATCGCTGCCTTCATTTTACCACTACTGTGGTGTAGGCAAGGGGTCTTTGAGCCTGAGGATTCACGGCCGCATGGCTAGTGCTTCGCCATGACCATGCAGGTGAGAATGTTATTTTGCCTCTGACAGAAACAAAATAAAATCCCCAGCCCTACTGAGGATTGGAACTTGGGTCTCCCGCTTGAGAGTCCAGTGATCTAACCACTTAGCCAGCCAAGACAGACCTATTGCCTACCCAACAGCATGTTGTAAGAGTAGACTACTTGGGAGCTACCTTCGAAGTCAGAGTGCACCTGCTGAGAGGCAAGGAACCAACTTGTCTGCATACAAATGAGTCAGTAAAATGGTTGTGACCACAACAGTCAGGTTCTAGAATAGGACTGGAGTCAAGAAACAAAAAAGAACCAGAACTCTTCACCAGAGTTTACAGCCGGTCACCAAGAACAAGAAGCAGCAAACATCTCATTAGTCATCTTTTTTATGACATGCTTCTATCAGAGCCTGTGGCTTAGGCGTTGGGAACACGCTTCGTCACGTCGAGGTACCCGGTTCAATCCAACTGCGGGAAACTTGTCTTGTGCTGGTTTTGACAGTGGTACCCTCAGCTGATCTCTCAGAAAGCAACGGCGAACTACTGAATGTAAAATTTTGACTTGAAAAACCTCAACAGTCACACAAAAAATGCTGGGCTTGGGTCTGCAAACGTCCTGTAAAGGATACACAACTAACTTTTTGTTAGGGAGGGGTAGTGGGTGTATTCTCCTCCCCCAACCCCCAATAATAGGAATAAACCCACTGCAAGTACAGCCCCAAAAGCAGTGTTGTAATCCAGTCGACAAGTGTTTTTGGGGAGCTATTTCTCCTTTGAAGACGGCCCAGTGAGTTCATCTGCTCAGGGAGACCCTGCTGCAAGGAACCGGAACAGTCCTTTCTTTCGGAGAGAACAAGACGATCTGGTTTGCAGAAAACAGATGCACAGCGAAGCCTAATTAAAAGCACTCAGCATACCTGGACGACCGACTCAGGTTCTGGAGCAGGACACATGCAGTTCTTTTAATAGACAGAGCATCCTGGGCTGGCAGACAATCCGCACATGAATTTACAGCTGAGTGAACGCGACTAGAAGAAGAAGAAGATACCGAGGCCCGTCCCCTACGTTGTTTCCGTTTTGTTAGGGAGGGGTAGTGGTTTTTTTAAGTTTCGTTTCGTTCCTCCGCCCAACCTAATTCTTTAAACCAATTGTAAAATTCAACCCAGTTACGGTGTTGTTACTTTTGCAGTCACCCTTACAAGAGCGGCTAGCATGTTGTATTGTGCTGTGGGTCTGCCTATTTCCCTCCCTTCTCACAAAATTCAACCCAGAACCCGTATAGGGAAAGGTGTTCTTTGTTTCTGTTAACTCTTTTAATACTAGGCAGTTGTTACTACTACTACTTCTTTGCGTTCACCGGTTGTAAACTCCGGCAGAAAGATCTGGTTGTTCATCCACATCTGGACTTTAATGTTGTTCCATAACCTGATTTTTTGCATGCATATTCATTTTACAAGTCTGGCTTTATTTGATTTTTTATGCCTTGTGCCTCTCAGGCGGATGCACTTCAAGTTAAAAAAAAAACACCCCTACCTGGTTGAATCTTACATCATGTTTGTTGGGGAACAGTGGGTCTATTCTTTCCCCACAACGGGGCCCCAGAACTCACAAAGGAAAACTAACGATTCAAATACAGATAGTTTATGAAACATCTGTCTGTAAGAGAGGACTGAAACAATTATCTCTGGAATAATCAAGAAAACAGAGTGCACTGTTTGATACTGAAAGGGCTAAGCTGCTTGGGTTTATGAAAAGCACTTCATAATTTTTCACAACCATTCTTACTCCCTGGAATCTATACAGGAAGATCCTGCAGCCTTTGATCTCTCCCCCCCCCCCCCCCCCCATCCTGTGGCCCAAAGCCATAAAGTAAGACATATGTTGGGTGTCACCTCTTCACTAGGTACTTACAAATGTCAGGTCATAGTAAATCCTCCTAAAGTCATAGAGAAGCCAGATGGGGATGAACAGTCCAGTTGATATCCGAGTGATGAGCGTCAGAAGTTCTAAGTGGTGGTATTCTGTGTCTTTAAGGCACTGGAGACAGCATATATAACATATCATGGCAATATATAAAGTTAAAAAGGACATTCTGGCACTCCTCTGAATATCGGTCTCAAATTATCGAGGTTAAAAACATACACTAACAGGTCATCTAACATAACTACTGAAAACTGGGAACTAAAATAGAATCATAAATTTAGCACTGTCACTCCAGAAACTTTTTTTTAAAAGTCAGGATACTTCGGACACCCCCCTCCCCCCTTTCCCTCCCTCAATCCTTAAAAAACAGCCATCTGATGAGGCAACTAACAGTTTTGTTAAATATGTCTATCTACATTTTTTTTTTTTTACTTATCCCAAAATGTATTAAGAGAGTAATCAATAAAAATAAACTGAGCCAAACACCAATTGGAACACTCATGCTATCAGTGCCAAACATGGACGCTTAATCCTCCAATGAACATAAAATTGTGACAACAGAGATGAAATGCCTTAGAAAAGCTGCAGAAGTTTCAAGGAAAGACAGAATACGAAATCACGAAATCAGACAAATGCTAGGAATAAAGCTAGTCTTACAGGTCATCAAAGAACAACAAATGAAGTGGTTTGGACACCTAACAAGAATGCCCTGGTACTATCTGCCACAGCGAGCCACACTAAAACGTTACAATGGGTATAGAGCGAGTGGAAGACCTCGGAAAAGATGGAGTGATGGCATTAAGAACAGCCTTACAGAAATGAACATCAGTCTTAATAGTGCTCTTGACAGAGCCTATCAACGAACATTACATCTCCCCCGACACTTCAATGAGGTTCAAGGTGAAAGAGAAGAAAAAGAAGAAGGCAACAGAAATTACGACGTCAAGATGGCTGTATAAAAGCCATTTGGTTCACAGGAACTCACATCTCCCCCTTTTTTTTTTCCTCCAGATTTCTATTTGTAGCAAATATATTTGCATCCTGACCTCCTAAATTCTGTGCAGGCACAGACACAGCTATGGCAATAAACCAGGCTTTTCCAGGACACATCACTGTAGCAAGTCAGTAGAGCAGCTCTTACAGGGAACTGGACACAACTGGAAGTGTCAGTTTTGTGGCTTCTCAGGGTGGGGGAGTTTAAAGTCAAAAGGGAGTAGAGGCTGGTCAAGTGGCTGGAATGCTGGGTTCTCATGCAGGAGATCTGAGTTCGGTCCTATGTAAAGTTTTTCCAAATTTTTTTTTTCTGGGGATGAGGATGGATTTGGGGGGGGGGGGGGGATGGCTAAAAGGGGTAAATACAGCCAGTCAAATAGCCGAGAGGATCATCTTCACTGCGCTGTATCCCATATAGCTCGTTTTCTCTCTGCGGAGCAATTAGCCAGTTGCTGAAAGCATCACATAAAGCATGACCTCCACGACTCCAGGGATCATCTTCAGCGATCATCTCCAGGAATGTCAAGGCAACACTCAGATTCCGGAACAGGACAGGATTCTAGAAGGGGAACAACACAAATTTCCCGCCAGAGTTTACAGCTGGCAAATACAAAAAAGAAGAAATGAGAAATAAATGGGCCGAGGACACAGGGACCTCTAAGAGAAATCCTAAGACAATAGGCGTTGAGAGGCCCAGATGTGTTGGACTGGATTCCAATCATGCTGGACTTGATTCCAATCATGCAGGACTGGATTCCAATCATGCTGTACTGGATTCCAATCATGCTGGAATGGATTCCAATCATCCTCGACTGGATTCCAATCAAGCAGGACTGGATTTCAATCATCCGTGACTGGATTGCAATCATGCTGGACTGGATTCCAATCATGCTATCAGAAAGGACTGCAAAGCATAAAAATGAATAAAGGGCTGGAAGGTGAGGCCAGTGTGGCAAATAATGGCCCAATAGGATCCTACCATGCAAAAATCCTACAATCCATGGTGACTGAATTGGCCATGCAGCCTCAAATCCCAAGGCTGATTTCAGAGCTAAATGGGGTAAATACAGCCAGTCAACAGCAGAGAGGATCATCTTCACTGCGCCGCTGCGCTGTTTCCCATATAGCTTGTTTTCCCTCTGCAGAGCAACTAGCCAGTTGCTGAAAGCAAGGTGAGCCCGGTTGTTGTAGAAGGTGAGCCACGTGTGGCATGTAATGGCACAATAAGATGATGATGTGTGATTATATGCCCCCCCCCCTCCCCCTGACCCATACATGCTTGCATTTAGATTTACAGAAAAATGCCAAAAATCTTCCTGGATAGTCAAAATGAGTGATCTACATATCTTAAGAGAGGTTAAGAAGTGAAGACTACTTATCAGAGAGTAGCAGTTACAGTTGATGGCCACAAGAGGGCATGTTGCAATAACTGGAAAATTTATGTAAAGAGTAGGAGGAAGACAACGAGAGAAGATTCCTGACAGGTATGAAAAGGCATCAGCACATGAAATTATACAAGCTAGGGGAAACTGCAATATGTGGAGAAGCATGACTGCCCATGTCAGTCAGCAAGGCACTACTTGATGATGATCATAAATCAATCACTCAGTCAAGCAGGTGCCATCTCCACAGCGTCATCTCTCTCAGTCAGTCTCTGCCTACCACTAATCTTTTCAGTTCTCACAATTTTCTCTAATGTCTCTCTTATTCGCATGTTCAGAGAACATTGTTATTTCTCAAACTACACACAATTTCAACTATTTATTTAACTTTCTCCAGGCAAAAGTACCACAATTTTTTTTGTATACATAAGACCCTCTCATGTATAAGATGACCCCTATAAGTAAAGGACCCTTTTCCCCGCCTTTAGGCGTATAGGGCTTATAGGGCTAGACCTATATTTTATAGACCAATCGGCACTTGATGGGTGATGCGGTCAGCATCACGCTGGCTGCCTTTACTTCCCATGGCCGCGCCCAGTACCCACTCAAGGCTGGGTCAACCTGGAGGCCAAGGTCATTTTTTAAGGAAAAAAGTCTGGCTCGCCAGGGAGCAAACTCACAACCTTCCAATTCTTGGCGAGCATCCAGCCGCTCTGCCAGTGACTCCCTTGACCTCTATTACTTTGCCCAAAATTAGGAAATAAATATTTTAAACACAAGGCAACCAATTGTAAACTTAACAAATTTGGGAAAACATATTGTCTTCTTCAACTTCTGCATTCATCTAAAGATGTAACTGTGTTTTTCCCATTTACAGCATGGCTGTGATTTTTCTCATTTTTTAGCCAACACATCCGGCTTCTGCAGACATTTGTTGACCAAGTTAACCTTTCCAGTTAATTTCGTGGTACACTGCAGTCTTATTTCTGTAGGGTCATCTTAATTTCCCAGGTCACAGGCAGGTCCAAAAAAGGCATGAAATGCTGATCAGTCCCCAAGAGAAGGCAGGGGCAGTATGTGAGCATTCCCTGTCACCCAAGTAGGCTTCCATAAACGCAGAGCCAACACTTGATGCTCAGGTAGCGGGCTCACCCCAGAAATCGTCACATCCTGCTGATGACTGTTTAACCTCACTTTCATGTATTGAGCTACTGTGTTCCTAAATTGTTGCTGTGATTGTTATTTAACATTTGCTTCGTTAACATATATTTCTGTAACCTATGGAGCCATTTCAATGGTTTGAAATGAATTCTGTCCGTAATCCATAGTTGTGGACTTCAAGCTGTACGACAGACATGGCCAATAAGACACCTTTTTTGGGGGGTGCCTAGTTGACCATGTTCTTAGTGCACTTGAATCCATGGCAAGGCGTACACGCCGTCTGGGGGAGACAGGTTCAATTCCCGGCACGGTAACTATAGCTTTTGATTTTTATGTTGTCTAGTGTGTTCTTCTATCTTTCTACTTCTTTCTATGAGTGCCGATCTGTACACTTTATGTTACTTGATTAATTCATATATTGAGCATAAGGTAAAGGTAAAGTCAGGAGATGTGAACCAGCGTCATTGCACACGGTTATAAACCATAAGTGCTCTGCCACCAGTGCGGATAGCTGATAAGAAACTGTCAGTCTGAGTGGCCGTCTGCACTCAACTCCGTAGCTACAGCGATGTTCCTCTATTTACCCCAGAGTGTTAACTCTGGTACCCATTACCTAGAGGCTGGGTGAACCCCGGGAACCGCCCGGTTTCAAACAGCGATCATGGGCTGCAGCGAGTCACAGCTGGATTTGAAAGTGAGTCTCCTATTCTTCTTCTTCTTCACTTACTCTTTTACCCCTGTGGGTCAAGGGAAATATAAGGTTCTGTCTCTAGCTCTTCTGGCTGCCTCGACCACAGGCACATCGTGCTGTTGTAGAGTTTCTCTGATGTTATCCTTCCATCTTGTTCTTGGTCTACCCCGTGCTCTACGTCCTTCTTCTCTTTCCATGTATGCTTTGTATGGTATGGTGTCACAAGGTATTCTCTCTAAGTGAGCAAACCATTTCGCCTGCTGTCTTCGTATGTAATTTAGAATTGGTTCAGTGCCGACTTTTTCTCTTATGATCTCATTCCTGATCTTATCTCTTATGGTCACTCCTACAGCCCTTCTCAGACATCTCATCTCCATGGTTACTAATTTTCTTTTATGGTTTGTTGTGAGTGACCATGTCTGGCACTGGTAGCACAGAGTTGGAATAAATATGTTTTGAATAAGGTGTCTCTTTGTGCTGATTGGGATTGTCTTATGCTGTAAGAGGGGAGCTGGCTGTCCCAATACTTGGTTTGCTTTACTGCATCTAATGTTAATTTCTTTATCCAATTTCCCATCTTCGGTAAATGTAGTTCCCAGATATTTAAACTCAGATGCCTGTTTAATGCCTTTGTATTCTATTGCTATGTTTAGATCTGTCTTCTTTTTTCCTATTGACATTACTTCTGTCTTTTCAGTGTTGATTTTCATATTATTTGTTTTACATTCTTCATTCATGGATGTTAGATGTTGTTGCAATTTTAAGGCTGTATCTGCTATCAAGGCCTGGTCATCTGCAAAGAGTAATTCGTTGATCTTACTAAGATCTTCATTCATGGGCTTGGCATTCTTGCATATACTGTCGATGTAGGTGATAAACAGCAGTGGTGATAAGACACACCCCTGTCTTACTCCCGATGTCACTGTGAAAGGATGAGATGTTCCCTGATTTATTCTAACTACACTTCTACAATCCCTGTATAAACTTTTGCACACTTCGATGAGGTGTTCGCTTAGTCCATATCTTGCCATTACTTTCCATAATAATTGTCTGTCGACTCTGTCAAATGCCTTCTCCTGGTCTACGAATGCCACAAATAAGTTCTTATTGTATTCAATGTTCTTTTCTATTAACTGTTTAAGTGTGAAGATTGCATCTGTGCAGCTTGTATTTCTCCTAAATCCCATCTGTTCTTCTGCCAGCTGTGGTTCTATCACTGGTCTCAGTCTTGTTTCTATTATCCTGGCATACATTTTGCCAACATGGCTTAAAAGAGAGATGCCTCGGTATTGACTGCATTCTCGTTTGCTTCCTTTGTTCTTCCACAATGGCATAACTATTGCATGTTGCCGATCAACAGGGGCAGTTTGTTGTACCCATGCTGCATTAAATATTCTGTGAAGCCATCTGATGCTGCTTTCACCTGCTGATCAATGGCTTTCCTGTCTTATCACTGAGTCTCCTATTGACTGCGCTAATGTGGCATCTCAATAATATTGTCTTATACACAGAAAAGTATGGTTACTAAAGGACTTTTTTCACAAAAATGGAACATTGGACACATAGTCCTTCAGTCAAATTTTTTAAAGACAAATGGTAATTGAGGGGTGATGCGGCCAACACCATGCCAGCCATTTTTCACTTAATACAGAATTTCTTAGCATTCATTTTATGGCTGAATCAACCTGGCAGGCAGGGTAAATTGATTTGAAAGACCTGCCTCGACCTCTTCTTCTTCTTTGCACTCACCAGCTTTAAATTCCAGCAAAATAGTTATGACTGTTCATCTACTTGTGGCCTCGTTCCAGAACTTGAATTCCGTGTGCACATCCATTTGACAGATAGACTTGTTTCTATGCAGACTGCTGGATACTCACCTCTCAGGCGACTTCAAAGAACACACCCCTGATTAGTCTACTGTTACGACATGCATGTCAGGGAAGCAGAGGGTAAATACTTTTCTTTCTCTCTCCGAAAATGGGGCTCCAGAACCTACACGAGAAGATGCAGATTCAAACCCAAGACCTTCAGGCCAGTAGGAAAGCATCCAGACACTCATCTCGTTATTTATACTACCTCCATAAACTCTTCCAAATCTGTCTGTCAACAATCTGTCTGTCAACAATCTGTCTGTCAACAATCTGTCTGTCAACAATCTGTCTGTCAACAATCTGTCTGTCAACAATCTGTCTGTCAACAATCTGTCTGTCAACAATCTGTCTGTCAACAATCTGTCTGTCAACAATCTGTCTGTCAACAATCTGTCTGTCAACAATCTGTCTGTCAACAATCTGTCTGTCAACAATCTGTCTGTCAACAATCTGTCTGTCAACAATCTGTCTGTCAACAATCTGTCTGTCAACAATCTGTCTGTCAACAATCTGTCTGTCAACAATCTGTCTGTCAACAATCTGTCTGTCAACAATCTGTCTGTCAACAATCTGTCTGTCAACAATCTGTCTGTCAACAATCTGTCTGTCAACAATCTGTCTGTCAACAATCTGTCTGTCAACAATCTGTCTGTCAACAATCTGTCTGTCAACAATCTGTCTGTCAACAATCTGTCTGTCAACAATCTGTCTGTCAACAATCTGTCTGTCAACAATCTGTCTGTCAACAATCTGTCTGTCAACAATCTGTCTGTCAACAATCTGTCTGTCAACAATCTGTCTGTCAACAATCTGTCTGTCAACAATCTGTCTGTCAACAATCTGTCTGTCAACAATCTGTCTGTCAACAATCTGTCTGTCAACAATCTGTCTGTCAACAATCTGTCTGTCAACAATCTGTGTTTGTTGAAAATATGATCGCATATAACACATTTTGTTTAAAATAAATGCACACAACAAATAAATACCTTTTTAGTAAAAATGGTCTGCAGAGAAAAACAGAAGGTTGCGAATACAGAACTGGCTAATCCAATATGGTCAAAGGTGATTTCTGTGGCTGTGGCTATACACACACCGGTGATAATTGGGAATAATGCTAGATAAACCTAAGGGAAACAGAAATGTTATCTGAATCAAGAAAATACAACTTTCATACAAGCATGAGTGCATAAACAATATCTTCTTCTTTGTTCACCGGCTGTGAACTCCGGTGGAAAGTCCTGGTTGTTCGTCCATTTGGACTATAGCTTTGTGACAGGCCTGAGTTTTGCATGCACATCTGTTTTACTGAATTTTACTGGATTTCTGTCACTAGCGTGTGGAATATAATTTCCTGTTTTCTGTTATTGTGCAAGTGGAATTTAATTTCTAATTTGCTACCACCATCAACAATCAATCAATCAATCAATCAGGTGCTGTCTGCACAGTGAAGGTTGGTTGCTACGGATCTCCAACATTTTTTACCGTTATGCAAATTGAATATAATTTCTGGTTTTCTTTTAATCTCCATTACAGAAACATGACAGCTTGATGTACCACTCAGAGAACAAGTGAGCATATCTACATGTCATTAAGGTACACTGGTGATATTAGGGATATGGTAAACACATTTTACAATAATAAATCATATAACCTAAACATAGATAAAATAAATAAGTAGGAAAAAAAAAAGAATGAATAAACTGTTTTTTTTAAATGTTCACAAATAGGTTAAGCAGGCATGTCTTAAATTCAACCCTTCTAACACTCAACTTCCATGATGCGACCAAATTTTATCTACAAAGCAGGTTGTGTTCATAAATTAATATATCGAAGAATAGTACATTATGATATTTATAATGGCATACAATTGTTGTAAAGAAGATCAGGATGAAGAGGCAGACTGGGGAGAAGTAGAAATCTTATACTCACAGGCCAAGTCTGTTTTTCCCCAAGTATTATCCTCGATAAAACAACTGTAAACAACGGTAACGTGGCTTTGACTGAAAGAGAATAGTGGATACAGATTATGCTTTAGCATGAAACATCAGACGTGGTGTTGACTGAAAGAGAATAGTGGATACAGATTATGCTTTAGCATGAAACATCAGACGTGGCGTTGACTGAAAGAGAATAGTGGATACAGATTATGCTTTAGCATGAAACATCAGACGTGGCTTTGACTGAAAGAGAATAGAGGATACAGATTATACTATAGCATGAAACATCAGGTGTGGCTTTGACTGAAAGAGAATAGTGGATACATATTATGCTTTAGAATGTAACATAAGCATCTGTGGCTTAATGTTTCTGTCCTGTAATGCTGAAAATTATCGGTCATGAACCTGTGGGAATTCCCATAAAAAAATTCTTCAAAAACAACCCTATTGTAGAGATCATTAATACATTTTTTTGACATTTATTCATCAATATTTTTAAAATTTCTTTGAAATACTTAAAGATATCTAAAGGGGGTAATGAAAACATGAATGAAGCTTTAAACGGAATACATTCCCAATTGCCTAAAACAACAATATACAGGTGACTCATACTGTGACCTCATGACCTATATCATTGAGGCTAATGGGAAAATCTTACACCAACTTGGCTTTAAAAAGCCATTGGGGTCATAAGGAAACCCCTTAAATGCTATTTTTAGTTACTATATTCATATCCTAGGATATTAAACACTGAGCGTGTGAACACAGACCCAAAGAAATTTTAGTAAGTTTTTTTAGAACAAGTCACAGCAGATATAGCGATATATCCACTTTTACCGAACTGCATCACAACATGAAGTGACTAGATGTAGTCTTCTCAGGGTGACAGCCTTAAAGATTATGAGGGGTTTCCTAATTCTGGTATAGCAGGTTTCATTCACTTGCAAGGTTTTTTTTTTTTTTTTTTGCAGCAGAATGCTTTGGGTTGATTTTTGACACTAGTACAAGCATCAAACTATTCAGAAAGTAATGACAAAACTACCAAAAGTAAAAATTGCATAGTTAATTACACCACAAACAACCAACAAATCTTAGGGTTGCTTTGTGATTTTCTGTAAACGACATGCAACTAAATTTTTTTTAAACATTAATCTACTTCATTTTTTTTCAAGCAAAGAATGTTACATCTAGCTGATAAATCCCAGTGTGAAATTATCGCAGGCATCTGTGTACAGTTTACTTCACATAACTTGTCTCAGAAAGCTGCTCAAAATCAAATGGCAAGAAAGGATCCCAAACAATGTGGTTCTTGATAGGGCAAGCCTGCCTAGCATCCATACGATACTGAAGAATTCATGGGTCTCCTCAAACTCTGAAGGTCATGGGTTTGCTCCAGTTCAAAAATAAAATTATATGGAGATCTCTGGGGATCATCGCCAGAGCTATGAAATTCGTGTTCTGCGCGCTGCTCTCTGGAGGCAGCTAGCTGTTCTGTCGAGAGAGACCAAGCCATATGGGATCAAACTCGGTGCAATGAAGTCGATCTTCTCGACTTTAACTTTTTAACAAAAGAATAAGCTGGCCACCTAGCTCACATGACAGACTATTGCCTCCCAAAGAGAGTATTTTATGGGGAGCTCCAGGAAAGGAAGAGGTCCCAGAGAGGACAGAAAAAGCGCTAGAAGAACACTCTCGAAACTGTTCTCAATTCTTTTGGCATCAACACAGCGACATGGGAGGCTGCTTCACAGAACCGTTATGGATGGCGTACATCCCTTGGCATGCTTCATCAGCCTGCCAGGCAGTAGAGGTTGCATAGGCAGAGAAACGGAGGCAGACCAGAAAGAACCGTATTGCTAATCCCAAACTTACTGCAACTTCCACCTGTTGTCCAAAAACTTTCGGGGCTCATATTGGACTAATCAGCCACCTTCCTACTCGCAATCCTTGATCATTGCTACTTTGAATGAAAAGTGGCCTTCATCACTCGTGATGGACAAACAACTCTTCGTCAAAGGACACTTTATCTTCTATTTCTTCTTTCTGTTCACCAGCTGTAAGTTAACACCAGCAGACAATCCTGGTTGTTCGTCCACTTCAGAACTTTAGTACTGCTCCAGAACTTCAGTTTCACATGCACATCCATTTGAGAGATCTGGCCTACATGTATGCAGACTGTAGTTTGTCGCCTCTCAGGCAGATGCACTCTGGTTTCAAAGGAAACATCTCTAATTAGTAGTCTTTTATGACATGCTTGTTGGGCAGGCTGGGGGTCTAATCTTTTTCAATCCAAAACTAAGGCCTGGAACCCACAAGGGAAGTACTGGGTATACAGTGCTTGACATACATTTTAATGACTAACAGGCATTTGGATAAAGTGGGCAGCATTACATCAACCGCCTTTACTTCCAAAGACTTTGCCTGGTAGTTTTATGCTTAATTGATTTGGCAATTTTTAAAAACAAATCTGTCTTGATGTAGAACTGAACTCATTACCTTAGGGCCTGCAGGCAAGCATCTAGCCACTACACCACCTCCTAGTAAACATATGGTTAATTACAACACACACAAAATCCCCCTGTGGGTTCTGGGGCCCCATTGTCGGGAAAAATAAGAACAGACCCATTGCTTATCCAAAAGCATGCTGTATGAGCCGACTAATTGGGAGCTTCCTTCAAGGTCGGAGTGCATCTGCCTGAGAAGCAAGGAACCAACAGTCTGCAAATAATTAGACCACATTGGTCCAACAGGCACGCACACACGCAAAACTCAAGTCCTGGAACAAAGCCAAAGTCTAGAAACAGAATGAACAGTCAGGACTTCCCGCCAGAGTCTACAGCCAGTGAGCCCAAACAAACAAACAAAACAGAAGGTCAGTTACATGTTTACCTGTATGTGCGTAGGAAACTGACACTTTCCATATACTGATGTACGTTGATACTGAAGAGACAAACTTTCCTAGCGCTAGTGGAAGGATCATGACATAAAAATACCTCTTGTCGATGGGTCTCCCTGGTGGGACATTCATAAATCTTCTGATGGGCCCAAGCAGGATGGAAGCAGTGACTAAATGGGTCATTGTCATTGTCATAGGGTAGGGAAAATCTGATAAAACGACCTTCCCCAGGATATTGTCGCTGGCGCTGCATAAATACCACAGTATGCATATCAAAGAAATTTTCAGGAAGTCGATATATGCAACTCCATCCATCATGGCTTTGTGTCTTGTGGGGAAAAACTGGAAAAGGAATGGAATACAAATGTGGAAATTAATTAACACTGTGTTGCATGCAACACAAATGGACACATCATGGTTGATTTGCACAAATTATAATGCTGGTTGTGTCAAGATGGTCGGCAGTTGTTCAGTTAACTTGTGGGGCTAGTGGGAGACCGTGTGTTTATTATTAAATGTCTTGGCTGCTGTGTCGCCATGTCACCTTCTGCTATGGTCCCATCCAGGCATCAGTTTAACAGGGCCTGCAAAGAAACAGAATAAACATATAAAGTTGGTAATTAACAAAACAGAATAAACATATAAAGTTAGTAATTACAAAACAGAATAAACATATAAAGTTGGTAATTAACAAAACAGAATAAACATATAAAGTTGGTAATTAACAAAACAGAATAAACATATAAAGTTGGTAATTAACAAAACAGAATAAACATATAAAGTTGGTAATTAACAAAACAGAATAAACATATAAAGTTGGTAATTAACAAAACAGAATAAACATATAAAGTTGGTAATTAACAAAACAGAATAAACATATAAAGTCTGTAATTACAAAACAGAATAAACATATAAAGTTGGTAATTAACAAAATACAATAAACATATAAAGTTGGTAATTAATAAAACAGAATAAACATACAAAGGTGGTAATTAACAAAATACAATAAACATATAAAGTTGGTAATAAACAAAACACAATTAACAGATAAAATTGGTAATTAACAAAACACAATAAACATATAAAGTTGGTCATTAACAAAACACAATAAACATATAAAGTTAATCATTAACAAAACAGAATAAACATATAAAGTTGCTAATTAACAAAACAGAATAAACATATAAAGTTGGTAATTAACAGCGCTCATGAAATATATATTTTTTTTTGCTGAATGATTGATTAGCACCTTTCTGTCTTTTCAGACGATAGTGCTGTATTGTGCTAAAGGGAAAGGGAAATAGAGACAATGGCAACGGCGAGCGTAATTAGCAAATGCTGCTTGCATGTTTCTCACCCTAGCACAAAGCCAGGGCATTTATTGCCCATGCATCACAATCTCTCTCTCTCTGACTGCTTTGTTTACTCCAAAGGAAAGGTAACACTAATACATTTGGAACAAAGCAGAGCACACTGCAGAAGCTGTGTGACCAGCACCTAAGCAAAAAAAGGTTTTGAAGTGTACTCATTTCAGTTACACGGCCCCGACAGAGTCTAATATTTTTTTTAATCATGCTTCCCTCTTTGTGGTTAACACCAGAGATCCCCCCAAAAAATAGATATGAGGAGAGGGCTGATCAAGTTGTTCAGAAATCTGAGCTCTCATTAAGGACAGCCAGGTGCAAATCCCTGATAAGGTGATGAATTTTTTCTTGCCCAGGGCAAAAATAAAATCCTAACCAGCTGTCCAAGGCGACTGCAATAGCCATAGGGCATACATTTTCAGATTCAAAACCATCTGCCTTGCACCACCCTAAAAAAGTAGTAAAAAATAGATTTAGAAACTCTGGCGGAAAGTTCTGGTTGTTTGTCCATTTCTGGACTCTAATTTTGCCCCACAACTTGAATTTTGTGTGCATATCTGTTTTACGAATCTCGCTTATTTATATGGAGATTGTTGGTTCCTTGCCTCTCAGACAGATACACTCTGTCTCTGAAGGAAACATCCTGGATTAGTCTACTCTTAGGACAAGCTTGTTGGGGTGGAGGTGTCTATTCTTTTTTTACCAAATGAGGCCCCAGAACCCACACAGGGATGTGATGTACTTTATGAGTACAAGAATCTTCTGGAAAGTATAAAATGAAACAAACTGCATCTACATTCCTGCATGATATAGTAAAAGGCCATGAACGAGTGGATCAACCAGCAAAATATACACTTAATTTGTGGGGGAAGAAATATGGCAGGACTGATAAAGTAAATGTATGAAAGCTGGTGAATAATGATGAAGCTCTCATGCTGATCCGACTACAAGACCTGGAGTGAAGCTTGGCCAATACCAGGTCAAGCAATGTCAGGAGAGGGGACATAATAACTACATTTGCATAGTAACAGTCAGCAAGGGTACACTGGAATCCATGCTGCATCAGAGAAATAACCTTGCAGGGAAATACTCAATGTTCCGTGACACTGATTATGATAACATAAGAAGCACAAACAACATGAATACTGTTGAAGTACTTCAAGCCATGTGAAGGAAAATCACAAATCATTTAAATAATACCCCCAACTTATAAATGAATAGGGAAATTTACTAGCAAAATTAATTTTAAAAGATAGCATCCTTTGGATTTTTTCTTAAGGGCATGCCGGTGTGATAAAATGATTCATGACAAGTCAAAAGATGCAAGGACCCTTCATGAGCAAGTAAACAGTGCAGAGGCACAAACAGATCATCATGGTCTGAATTGAATGGTACAGCGAGGAGTGACCAGGGGAATCTGGCCATCGCTCAGGGGAGAGGAGAGACGGACATACGATCAAACTGTTAATGGTACCATCAACTCTGAACTGAAGACGGGGATGAAGCATTTATGGGAATGTCCCAAAAGCTGTGATGTCGGCTGGTAACTCTTCTTCTTCTTCTTCAGTGATTTCTGGTCATGCACTTTACTGAATGAACAATGAGTGTATAATCAGTGTGCTAGGGGAACAATTAGAATCTACACTTAAGACAGTCATTCCCAAACTGTGCGCTGTGGTGCCCCGGGAAGCCACGACCTCTTCACTGGGGGGAAATATTGTAAAAGCTTAAAAATTAATTTAACCAAGACATATTAGTCATAATTTTGCTTTGGTTAGGGCGCTGTGGAAAAATGTAACATAAAAAAAGGCGCCGCAACCAAGACAAGTTTGGGAAACACTGTCTGAAGAAGACATTTGCTGCAGGATGGATTGCACGATAGCTTTCATAAAGGCTACCGGCCTCCTGATATAAGTTTTCTGACAGAAGGATCGAAGAAGAAGAAGAAGAATTCTGAAATCAGTAATAGGTAGTGAAGCATTTTATTTATGCTAGTATCGCTCCATTGATTGCAGTCACTACTGACAATCCTTTCGACATATAACTTTTAACATTATATCACAGTTTAACTGCAAGCATGCCGAGACAGCTGTCCAGGGTTAATGCCAAAGCAGATGTTTTTTCCCCTGCTGGTTTCGGCTCAGTTGTATACTCAGCCTCATAAAAATGGCTACCAATTTCTGAATTTGTCTACATCAAGACTGACTGAAAAGAATAAAAAGGTGATGAATACGGGAGCTAGCCAGCCCTCTATTAATACCAGGAACTAAAATATATGAAAATGCCTAACAGTAACTTACTAGCTGTACTAACACATTATTCCAAAGGCAATTTCTGCCTGCTTTGTGAATCATATCATAGTTTTTTACTTTTTTTAAAATAATTTTTTTTAATTTAATCCGCATTATTCACTGCAGCAAGAAGTACAGATTTTTTTTTTAAACGACTCTAAAACTAAATGAGCAGTGGCTAGATATGGGGTGGGGCAGGGCAGAAATTTTATTACTGAATGAATTACTCTTTTTCACATCGTTGACATTCACAAATACTGAAATAATCTTTAGTCCTTAGTAGCAACAAAAAGAGAGGTTGGAGTCAGCTCAACAATTGTCAGTCAAATTGTAAGACAGAAAGAACTAAATTGAGAGTTAGAAGCTAAACCTAAGACTGAGCGGCTTATCTTCTAGCCTAATCCTGCTCTTCCTCTTGACACAGATGTTACCATTATTCAGCAGAATTTCAGAACTTTCGGCTATCCTCCGAACTTCAGGCACAAAAGATGGCGGCTGCAAAATATCCTTTTGAGCCTCAGTCACGTGACTTAATTTGCGGTTTTCCGGCGACTTAATTTGCGGTTTTCTGGTTACTACCGTCACGAGTCCCCGCGCAGCTCATGCGGCGTGGATTGGGGCTAAACTAGATGGCTGGGACTCACGAGCAAAGCTGCAGGAGATGCGGAAGCTGCTGCTCGTGGGTCCTAGCCATCTAGTTTAGCCCCAATCCACGCCACATGAGCGGCGTGGTGACTCGTGGCGGTAGTCACCGGAAAACCGCAAATTAAGTCACGTGACTGAGGCTCGAAAGGATATTTTGTGGCCGCCATCTTTTGTGCCCGAAGTTCGGAGGATAGCTGAATTTTCTGTAAGAAATAAAATTTATTACATTAAAACTGCAACTGTAAAAGTATGGCATGATCCGTGAAGAGTGGCAAGCATCACTTTGGAGGTCCTGGGAGGTTAGCATCCTTTGATATTTTCTCCAGTATGTAGGTGTGTTGGAAATGAGCAGAAGGATAGACTGGCAGGTTCTACTGCTTGGTCGTGTAATGATATATGACAAGCTAGATGTTGAATGTTGTAATGGCTCTTTAAGAGCGAGTGAACAGTGCGGAGACACAGAGTCAGATCATTAATACGGTTTAAGGAGAATGGCGCTGCAAGGAGTTATTAGCGTATCAGGTTCCCGATCAACACTCAGGTGAAAGGCGAGGCGGATATAGGCCTTCAATCAGACAATTACAGGTACCATCGGAATAGGTACTCTTCTCTTGCTGCTGAAGAAAAAATGGGTGTCTGAGTGCTACAATGTCGTTATCTATCTTAATTCAACATTGTAAATAGTGTACCCTGTACCACTCCTATCTAGTTACCGATAGATAATAATAATAATATTAACAGCTCAATTGTAAAATAACAAGAAGCAACTAGTTACCTAGTATGACATTAACCCAGCCATGGAGAGAGTAAACATCACCGTAGAGTTGTCAAACTTCGCAACAATCAGTCAAATAATCCCCCTCTACCTCCCTCAAGTCAGTACTCAGTGATCGTCAGACAATATTTCGTTTCGTGCAAGTATTACACGTTGAAGACGGAAGTCGGTCGGTTCTTGTTTTGTAGGAACTACCTTTTGTAGCGAGTCGATTTTCACATGGGTTGGTCGAAGTCAAAATAAATCTCCCTCTTTCTTTTCTCCTGCATTCAGAACCCTTGAAATACATTGCTGCGGATATAAACCGTCTCCGTTAATCTTTCTGGCTCGTCTTCACTTTCAAGTTGTGACTCTAAGCGTTTTCAGTTCTGTCTTGAGTTACCATGGGATCTGGCAGACGCTCAACACTCAGAGGAAGGTTGAGACACATATACAGTGTATAGGAATTGCAACTCTTCGTTTGCTGCTGCAGATAGGGTCAGAGCGCTTGTGTGGGTGTCCCGGGTGCTGTGATGTCGATTCATAATTCAACATTTAACATTCTTAGTTGGGTCGATTCAAGAACCGACCTCACAGCACTTGGGCCATTCACATAAGCGCCCCGTCCCCATCTTCGGCAGTCAGCGCAGAGTTCCAATACCAATGGTGCCAGTAGCACTCTGATTAAACGTCCGTCTTGCCTTTCCTCTGAGTGTCGAGTATCAGCCAGAGCCCCTCGTCACTCTCCGCTATATCAGTCTCACCAGACTGTGGTGTTATGTCTATAAATCCATTCCCTGTCTGCATTGTGATCTACCCCAGTTCAACACTTTTTTTTTTGTCTATGTTCTCTCTCTCTCTGTGTGTGTGTGTGTTATCTGCATTTGTCTCTCTATATGTCCCAATCATTGTAGTCCATTAGCTGATCGTAGTTAAACGTAAGCGAATTAGTCAGACTTAAGATTGTGGTATCTCTGGAAACGAATAGCACATCAACTCGCAGAAAGCCTCACTCCAGGCAGTCTCCGCCCACAATCCTAAAAATACGCATGTAAGGGGTCAGTAACTTAGCACAAACATCAGAAAGAGACCTCATTTTTTTCGGTCATGTTATGAGAAGAGGGAAAATTGAACATGAGACCACTAAAAATATATGTGGAAAGAGAGACAGGGGAAGACAGCGAGAGAAGATTCTTCTCTCGTGGCAATGGGGAGTGTCAACATACGAACTGATACATGCAGTTGCAGATCGCAGATAATGGAGATACATGATCGCCCACGCTAGTTGGCAAGGCACTTGATGATGATAGCGGGGGGGGGGGGTGGTTCCCTAAATACATTATTGTATTTATTTTCTAAACATCATGTTATTATTATTATTGTGCACTTAAATCAGCTTGAAGCCTAGACCCCCCCCCTCCCCATATTGTCTTGCGTCGGCGCCCCTGAAGTAAGGGAATGTTTGTACTTCTCTGGCACATACTGTTAGATCTACATTCTTCTGGACCAACCCAATCTTCCTGGGCGTCGTGGTCATCCACACTTTGTCTCCAATCTTTACTTCCCATGACGACGTTTTTCCGACCCCACCAGGACATCACACCAAGTGATAAACACCGGGTGACACAAAGTGCCACCTTTCTGATGTTTATCTGGGGACAGGGCTTCAGAAACACCTCTCAAACCATAGGTTGGATAATATTAGGGCCCCGCGGTGGGGCTACAAAATAGCGAAAAATTACGACCCTTATGGGGACGCTTTCCATGACATTACTTACTATCCTTTTCACTGGGACGACTTGAGAGCCAGCGTCAGCTATGAACAACATCGGCAAACAAGCGGTCTAGTCACTACGCTGTCCTCGGTTTCTAAATTGTATAGAATGTACATGTGCAAAGAAACGATCATTTCAAGAAGATTAACTTGATTCAGAAATAACGCGTTACATTTTGGTGACTTATGTCTCTTTGAGCCGTATATATTATTAATCTTCTTCTGCGTATGTATGCTGCATGAAGTGACTTTGCCGATGGCAGTCTGTCAACTTTTTCACAAAAATATAGTGACTGACATAACTGTGTAGTTTTCGCCGGGACAGCAGCGGAGCAACTATGGAGTGAACTGTTTGCTATAAAGATGAAAATGCTACTACCTGATGCTAATCTTTTTTTTTCATTTGGGAGTTCAATGATGCAGATATCACTCTCCTCCGTGCATCCCTGAGACTTTCTCTTTCCAAGTATTATTTGTAGATTTGCCAGTATATTATTATCTCTCCATATGAAAGTACATACAGACCCAGTGTCCCATTAACAAGCGTGTCTTAAACGGCGACTAATTACGGTGAAATAGTATGTATTAATATAAAAGGCATAGATATCTCATCCTAGCTGCCAACTTCAACTTACCAGCCAACTGCCATTTTAAGGGCAAAAAATAAGTGATAGATAGAGGAGAAGAAGAAGAAAAGCTCAAGTAATTTATAACTAAAAAACATTCATAAAACAGTAAACTCAGACACATATGTAAAATAGATTTGTGCTGACTGCCACTGCTATACAATACAAACAAACCTGTACAGTGAGTCTCAAACTGCTTCAACGAGAGAGGAACAATCACTGATAACAAACAAGCAGTGTTGATGTGGAAAATATTTAATGAAAAGGAACTCAAATTAAAAATCTCCAGTGAGAACTTGAAAACAAAGGACAAAATAAAATAAAATAAGAAGTGTACAAAACATAATAACGTAAAAAAAACACACACAATCATACTGCCAGACTTTTTACTGCAAGTTTCATATAGCTAGTGTGCATTTTATTTATTTCTTTCTATTGAAAACAAAATTTTCTAAGGTACAATTTAATTTACTACTTGTTCACAGATGAATATTTGCATTAACTGATGAGATTTAGAGAGCATGTAAAAAAAAAGTGCATAAAATTTCAGGATTAGCTAGCTTCAGTTTTATAACAGAGGTTCAACAACGTAAAGGAGATGAGCCAGCAAAACAGTGAACTCTGTAACTACTGAATTGAAGCACGGATTTGCCACAACAGCATTCAACCTATGCAGACAGAACCAAGACAATTATTTTAGCCTAAATCTGCTCCACCTGAGGAAACATTATGTGGAGGCGTTAATAACCCTGCTTTGGTGGTTGCATTCTCTTTTTTTTTTTTTTTTTTTTTTGTTTTAGTATCCAGAAATCATGAGTTGTTAACCCTTTGGCTCGGTACTGTGGATGCGCAATCCTTCGGCCTTGATTCCATGATAAATACCGTAAATCTGGGAGAAATGTGGCTTTTCTGCCTACCCCTGGACGTGAACCCGGACCACAAGGAGTTGCCATCCAGTCACCGCGCAGTCCGGTTTAGCCAACTAAGCTAGCGAGCCGGGCGTTGCATTCTCTAAATTAATTCATTTTACGTTGGAAGATGTAGGGGAAAAGAAGAAGAAAAAAATCCACAATTAAAATAAAAACAGCTGATCAAGACCGAATTTACATTTTTCAACTTGCAGTTGCTAAGAATTGAAGCTTTGAGTTTCTCCATTGTCCATGGTGTGTAGCATGGTCTGATCAAAGACCTCTGATAGTAAATGAGTTAAACAGCCTAAAACAAGTACTAGTGAAAGTAATCACAACACACAATGTTTAAAAACCAGTAGTTGCATGTCCTTCCTTTACAAAACCTCACAAACTAGGCCCTGAATGTATTGGCCGTTGTGTGGTTGTACAAGGCATCTTTATGTTCTGTGTTTGGCCACTGCTTTCTGAATGTTATGATGCTCACACAGCTGTCGAAATCAATGCAAAGCGACCTCCCACCAAATCGCCTGCAGCTGACTTCGATTCACAATATGGAACTGCATTCACAATCCCTACGCCACGGGTACCAACACACAAGATGTATTGTGCCAAAAGGCGCAGATACCACAACCTCACTGTAAATCTCAATACAGCATGCCTGTCGCCCCTTTAACAGTGAAGGCAAAAGACGAAGTAGAAAATGTAATCACTGTTCAATCAACAGTGCCGAAAAGCGGTTAGAAAATATCTCACAAACTGATGAAGTCTTCTTTTGAAACCAAAGACTGATAATCTGTAACATTAAACAGTCCAACAATAAATGAAGATGGAATCAGAAGCATTTTCGGTGAACAATGGCTGGCCCTGATTCATCATATTCCTGTTTAGAGATCCACATCTGCTGGAAAGTGGACAGGGAAGCTAGAATGGAACCCCCAATCCACACGGAATACTTGCGTTCTGGAGGAGCAATGATCTTGATTTTCATAGTACTTGGTGCCAAGGCGGTAATCTCCTTCTGCATGCGGTCTGCAATCCCTGGGTACATGGTAGATCCCCCAGATAAAACCGTGTTGGCATACAAGTCCTTACGGATGTCAACATCACACTTCATGATGGAGTTGTAGGTGGTCTCATGCACGCCGGCCGATTCCATTCCAAGGAATGATGGCTGGAACATTGCTTCTGGTGTACGAAATCTCTCGTTGCCAATGGTGATGACTTGCCCATCAGGTAATTCGTAGCTTTTCTCCAGGGTGGATGATGAAGCAGCTGTGCCCATCTCCTGCTCAAAGTCAAGAGCAACATAGCAAAGCTTCTCCTTGATGTCCCGAACAATTTCTCTCTCAGCTGTGGTGGTGAAGCTGTAGCCTCTCTCAGTGAGGATCTTCATCAGGTAATCTGTGAGGTCACGGCCAGCCAGGTCCAATCTCATGATGGCGTGGGGAAGAGCGTAACCTTCGTAGATGGGGACTGTGTGGGTAACACCATCACCAGAGTCCAGAACAATACCTGTGGTACGACCTGAAGCATACAGGGAAAGCACGGCTTGAATTGCCACATACATCGCTGGAGAATTAAAGGTTTCAAACATGATCTGGGTCATCTTTTCTCTGTTGGCTTTGGGGTTCAGAGGGGCTTCTGTGAGCAGGACTGGGTGTTCTTCTGGGGCAACTCTCAGCTCATTGTAGAAGGTGTGATGCCAGATCTTCTCCATATCATCCCAGTTTGTGACAATGCCGTGTTCAATGGGGTACTTGAGAGTAAGGATACCTCTCTTGGACTGGGCCTCGTCACCAACATAGCTGTCTTTCTGTCCCATTCCAACCATCACACCCTGAAAGGGATAAACATACCCAAACATAATGCTTTCTTTCAACATCAACATAATTTTATTCACAATCTCACGCTATAATATAATTGTGCTATATTCTGTTATGCAAGTTTTTAAAAATTGTAGTCGTTTTCATAAGTCAATTTAAAGTGAAACTTTTATGATTTGAAAGTCGGAGGATATTAACTGAATGTTTGCATTAACCATCTTACTTCAGCCACCTATATTAAATTGTACTGTTCCAATAAATAAACTACTGTCTCGACATTAAATGCTGGTTGCAACAGATCTGTAGTACATTATGTTTATTGATCTAATAGCCCAAACTGCTGCCTTCCATGCTTTGATATTACCATCACACCTGTCTTGTGCACCCTTTATTTTATTTTGTGTCACCTTTCTGATATGGGTTTTATGGTTTTAAAAAAAAGGACTGTTACCATGCCTCTGACATATCGGACATATACTGCACATTGATCAGGTCAATTGGCACTTTATGAGTGTTGTAACAAACATCATTCTAGCCATCTTTACTTCCCATCATATTTCTATGTACCCATTTTAGGTTGGGTCGAGTGGGAGCCAAGGTCAACTTGGCAAATAAAAAACACAAAAACAAAATCCGCCCTGGCATGGAAGTGAACCTTAGACTTTCGGGCTGGCAGGCAAGTGTCTTAACCACCATGACTTCCTTAAGATCTTTAAAGTATAAATAAGGTACATGAACCTTTTCCATGCATTCAGGCACATAGGGCTAGACCTATATTTTGTAGACCAAACTGCAGTCAATGGGTAATGTAGTCAACATCACGCTGGCCACCATTACTTCCCATGACCCATTTAAAGCTGGGTCGACCACTGAGCTTAAGTTTTTTTTTTTAAGTTCCAGTTCCTCAGGTCGTGAACCCATGACCTTTGGATTCGCAGGCCTGGATCTAGCCGCTGCACCACAACCCTTAAAGCTTGTGTGGCCAAAATAAATTTTTTTTTATCCAACATCAGTTTTGTGATTATTCAGACAGCAGAAGATGAGAGAAAAGAGGAGGGGGAAGTTTAGGCTAGGGTATAATGTATAAAGAATAGAGGAAGATCAAAAACACAACAACATGGAGAAGACAGTCAGAAAGCGTTGTTAAAAAAGATGGGCAGGACATGGTAAGGGCTGCATGCGATAGCGAAAAATTGAACAACTTGGTATGAGTTGGTTGAGGTATGTGCTCCACTGGGAGCTAGAAAGGCAGAATAAGAAGAAATGTACAAACCTTTACCATAAAAGGCTTTCCTACTTGCCATACATCCATCCATACCCTAACCTCGACAAACAACTATTCCAGAACTGAACGTAACTGGCAAAGAGTGAGTGGGCCCTCAGAGGAACAGTGGTAGCGAGTGGTCGCATTAGAGCAGGTTCTTGTATGACAGCCTGCCTACCCAGTGATCTTGTGTTCGAATTTACTTAAAAGGTCATCTGTCCTTCAAATACCAACACATCTTCCCGGAAGTTAAAAAAAAAAACTACATGACCCATCTATTTGCCAGTTGGTCTTAAAACATGAAGCTAATAATCAATACACTTCAGGCATTTTTTTTAAGCATCCAGAAACCATGAGTTGTTAACCTTTTGGCTCGGTACTATGGATATCGCAACATTTCAGCCTTGATTCCATGATAGATACCGTAAATCGGAGGAATGTGACTTTGCTGCCTACCCCCGGGAGTTCGTAACCCAGTCGCCGCGCAGTCCGGCTTAGCCAGGGCATTTAAGAGCTTACGAAAAAAGGTATTACTTTGGAAGGGAGAGGGGAATGGGTTACTCTGACAGAGCTGCAGTGTCAAGAAGCTACAACTTGGCAATAGTGCGTTCAACTATCTAGAGCTTGGTCCAACTAAATGGGACTCGGGTTTTGCATTTCTCTTTAATTGAATTCACCGGCTCTAAACTCCTGAGGAAAGTCTTAGTTGTTTGTACTACACTTGTGGACTTTGGTCTTGTTCCAGATCTTGAGTTTTGCGGCACATCTGATATACAAATCTGGTTCATTTGTATGCAGACTGTTAGTCTTTTTCTTCTTCTTCTTTTTCGCGTTCACCGGCTGTAAGCTCTGGCAGAAAGTTCTAGTTGTTCATCCACCTCTGGGCTTTAGACTTGTTCCAGAACCTGTGTGCTGCGTGCACATTCTGTTTTACAGATCTGACTTATTTGTATGCAGACTGTTGGTTCCTTGCCTCTCGGGCAGATGCACTTCGATTTCAAAGGAAGCTCCTAATTTGTCAAATCTTACAACATGCTTTTGGTTAGGCAGTGGGTCTGTTCTTGTTTTCCCCTACAATGGGGACCCCAAACCCACATGGGAGCAGACTGTTAGTGATTCGCCTCTCAGGCAGATGCGACGTCGAAGGAAACATGCCTAACTAGTCGCTTCTTATCCCTGTGCCGGTTATGGGGCTCCATTTTTAGATAATGAAGAATAGACTCGCTGTCGTTGGAGGCGACTAGTTAGGGGTGTTTCCTTCGAAGTTGGGCTGCATCTGCCTGAGATGCAAGGAACCAACAGTATGCATACACATAAGCCAGATATGTAAAATAGTTGTGCAAGTAAAAACTCAAGCTCTGGATCAAGCCAAAGTCTAGAAGTGGACGAACAACCAGAACTTTCCGCCGGAATTCAGTCTGTTCAACTGATACGTTTTGGCGGTCGCATTACGTTGAGAAAAGGCCTGATTGCCAAACCAGCGGTACAAGTCAAAAGAATGAAGATCAGAAGAGGCGCCTACACCAAACAAACATTAGCGACCATGCGTCTTCTTTGCATAATGCGATAACGATATCCAACACGTATCAAACGATATCCAATCAATAATTTCATGTGCGGCAAATGTCAGGAGAGGACAAAGGTGGTACAGAATCATTGTTGTTACCTTCGTATAACGTGGTAAACAAAATTGCATCTCCCCAACAATTGTCGGTAAGACGCTTGATAATGATGATTTCACTGCTACAAAATAGTTGTATTAACCGTGCAATGACAGAGCTTACCTGATGCCGAGGTCTTCCAACGATCGATGGAAACACAGCCCGTGGCGCATCGTCGCCGGCAAATCCAGCTTTGCACATTCCGGACCCGTTATCAATGACAAGAGCTGCAACATCCTCATCGCTCATTTTTACTTGTCGATTGTTTAATGTCTTCAACCTTTTGTCCGTCAAACGAAAAGAAACTTATCCCTGTACTGTCTTTACCCTGTAGAAAAACTCAGTAACAACAACTAAAACGTCGTGTGTCAAAATGGCGTTATCAAATTCAAACATACAACCGCATTCTGCTTGTCTCCTGGCCTAGTGCATAAAGCATTTGCCTTGCAAAACAAGGTCCTGTGTCATTTTTAAGGCAAACGTTGATATCGATGTGATTACCGTAAGCCTGTTTAGAAAAAAAATAGTAAATTTATTTATGCAATAAGTAAGGTTCTTTAGACTTGTGTGATCTACTTGTAAATCTTAATGATGAATAATTTTAAAAATAAACACATATGAATTATTATTTGGCATACTGAGGCGATTCGTGACAACCAGATTCGAAGACGTTCTATTGGTCAGTTACCAACCATTTTCCGAGAAATCTCATCAAGCATCACCATATTTGGTGATTAGTGATTAGAAAGGATTATCATCACAGCAGTCCGGACCGATCCATAGGTGCTCCGATCTCCTCCTCAAAAGCTCCACAAGTGTAAAACGACTGATGACGCCTGTTCTGTGTTGGTTATTGAAACGTCTTGTCCCCTTACTGAAATATTCATTTCCTGCAGCTTCAGGCTGCACCCCCATGTCCATCAGTCTTAATAGGTATATGTGGAGTCATCTTTTGGCGTGCTCCTCGGTACGGTAAGTGCAGCGCATGGCATTGATAACAGCACTTCTGTCCAGTACTGGGCCGGCCATAGCAACTGCAGTGTCAGCAAGATAGTCTGCACGCTCGTTCCTTTGAACACCCGCATGATCTGGCACAAAGATGAAGGTTAGGGCAGATATTCGAGAAGTGCTTTGTGTTTCAATCCATTCTTTCATGATAAATCCAGGTTGGATTTTTGTAAGCATATTCATCGAGTCACTAAGAATGCATACGTGTGTGAACTTTTGAGTACCAAGCCATGCTAAAACCCTTGTTACAGCCATAGTTTCCATTGTAAGGCTACTAGTTGTAACAGCAAAAGCGCCATTCATCTCCTTGATGGTTTTCCCCCTTGAGCTTACTGTGAAGGCCCATGCACTTCGCTTGCCTCTAATTACTGACCTATCTGTGTAAACTATAGCATTACCTTCATCTATGTTTTCGTCAATCAGTGTTCTGACTAAAGTGTCAACAATACCAGGAATCTGCTCTCGACAGCTTCTATCAAGTGTGATATGGACTGTAATATTAATGTTTGGAGAGGGAGGCATAATTATCCATTAATTTCTAAAACTGATGTCAGCAAGGCGGCAAACATGTTCTATGGCATCCTCAGTCCGACCCATCCAGAATTTGCCTCGTTTGAGTCTACTCTCTTTTTTTTTTTGCTTGAATAATTCCTTTTAAAGTGGGTGTCGTTAGTCTGACTTCACTTGGAGGAAAGCAACAGCCCTGGATAGCTTGATTATGTTTCCATTGTGTGGAAATCCAAAAGGTATCGCATGGATTTATAGGAGGTGTCACTAGTACATCCAAGAATAATACGCATGGCCTCGTTTTCAATTTTTTTCCAGTCTGTTTATCTGTGTGGTGCTGCTTGTCATGATGGCCAAGACATATTCAAAGGTGGAGAGAACTAATGCACGATACAAAATAACAAGTAGCCGTTGCACAAAGTTTGCAGCTCCCATAACTTTTATTGCAGAGAGACCGTTCTTGGCTTTGTTTATAATTTGGTCTATGTGTTTTTTAAATGATTAGCATCTGTCAAATGTTATACCCAGGTATTTGATGGAATCAGATCTCTCCACGTCAGCACCAAAGTTTTACTATCGGCATTGGTGTTTTAGAAAGGTGATTATTTAATGAAAACCAGGTGACTGTCATGGATTAATTGTTCCCCCTGACGTGGTGCACCAGGATGATATGCTATCTAATTAGTGTTGTAGATCCCAAACAATGTCATCTCTGTTTCTGCCATGTCGGTACACGAGGATGTCATCAGCATGAGATAGAGTTCTTCCTCTGCCACTCAGTTGTTCCCCTGGGATCTTTACTGTGTAAATGTTGAAGAGGATAGGAGACAACGGAGAACCCTGTTCTAGCGCAAGGTCTATTTTTACAAGAGTGATGTTCACGACTTGAAAGAAATTGACTTAACGAGAGAACTGGGCTATCCTCCGAATAACGGTCCTTAATTATCGAGGGGGAAAATATACCCTAACAGGGTCTTATTTACGTGTCAATTTCGCGTGAGCGGCGTGGGGGATACGCTCGGCGGTGGCGGAAGTGCGCAATTTAAGACAACGTAAGTGCGCAATTGACAAATGACTGAGGCCCTGTTAGGATAAATTTTCCGCCTCGATAATTTAGGACCGTTATTCGGAGGATAGCCGAGAACTGTTTGCCCACATCAGAAAGAGACAATCTGCATTCGTTGGTCTTATGATGAGAAAGAGAAAACGGCAGCACATCGTGAAGGTACGAAAGTTGGAGGGAGACCGAGAGAATCGATGATTGACAGCTTGACATCATGGCATTGAAGAATTGAGTACACGAGACAGAAAATCCTGGACAAACATGACTTACCAACGCCACGAACTTTAAGAAGAATAATATGTTAACAGCCTGAACTTTCCTGGAAATTACCTCCTACTAATGTTAGGTTGTCGACCAGGGTCACAGCAAAATATGGCGGGAAATAAATTTTGCAATATACTGCTTCTCCATGCTTGCTATATTGGCCTTTTTAACGCCTCTTCCAAAAATTTGGCGTTTTTGAAATTGAGCTGGTATGTTAACAATGAGCTGGCGTATTCTGGCCTTTTTTTTCCCTCAACAAGACGTGCCCACATTTTCTTCAGTGCATTATAGATCGTGTTTCTCAGTGACAGGAAAAATAAAATATTTACTGGATTTGTTGCTTTAATTTCCTAGCAAGTGGCTACAGGAGAAAACCTTTAATTTGAGTAAGGAAATCAAAAGCTGTGGCCAGATTCCTACAAACTGCACTGGGCTTGCGTCAGATGGCGCTTCAAACATGGTCCGGTGCATGAACTATGTATGGTCTAGAATTAAAGATGTCTTCTTTTTGTGTACAGCTCAGATGTATTTACCATTCACTGGCACTCTATATTTGTAATGCAGTTGCCAACAAATATTGGTCTCTGACTGTCAGAAATATCTTAGTGGTTTCGCCAGAGTGATTTAAATGAGAAGCCTATAAAAAAAACCTTTTAGAGTGATGAACACATATACAGTTTGAATCTGAACGACCTGCTCCTCTTCCATTTGAAAAGCTTTCATCTACTAGGTGGCCTGTGCTTGTCGATCATGCCTCTCCACAATCTGCGATCTCCTGCAGCATGTATTAGTTCATGTGCTTACATATCTCTGTGCCATGCAACAAGACTCAAGAAGAATGGACTTCCTATGAACAGTGAAATTAGGTGGGGAGGGGGAGTTAATCTGGCAACCCTGCATGTTTCTTATTTAAACCAAAAACGTGAAATGGAAAACTGGAGGAAAATTGACAACCTAAAGCCAAACCTAAGCAATAAATATTCCGCGGTATTACTATAAATAAAACCCAAGCCCTCGAGACAGGTTGAACGTAGTACGCACACGCAATTTTCAAGATCAAGTTTTGAAGAAAAAAAATGTGTCAGACTTCAAGTCTCTAAATCAGCATCAATGTCCTGTTGTGCCATTCTATTCCTCCATTTCATTCCTTGCTGAAATCTTAGTCCAGCACTCATGGCCTTTGTCATATACGTTAATGTGTTATTCAACTTCCGTAACATGTTTTCAAGATCCAAATATTACTTGAATCATGACTATAGGCTCACAACTTTCAGTACACAAGAGACTAATATGTCCTTTGCTAAATCTTGTGTGTGTATTATCTAGTGGTCTATGTCCTTTACATCAAAATGCACCCCCCCCCCCCGCCCCCCCCATTGTCATATGCGGCAGTGTAAATCTACTATCTTTGCAAGATTATCACCCTCTTTCGTTACTTCATTACACCTATTCAGTCCAGCACCATTTGCGCTTGTATATAGTGTAGAGATTGCAGTATTTTCATTTATGGCAGCAGCATTAAAAAAAAATTGTTGACTTACGACAGATTTCTTTACGTTCACCAGCTGTAATAAGGTCCACTGGTTGTCTTCTACTTCCGGACTTTGGGCTTGTATTACATGCAGATCTGGCTATTTTTTTTTTTTTTTTAAATATGTAGTAGGGTGGAAGCGACGAAGACTACAGTACAACAGATTAAAGGTCTTTGAGAGGTTTATCCTGGTTTGAAAATGCTAACCGGCCTTTTGAGAAACATTGGCAGTTAATAAAGTATACGAAAGATGGGTAAAAATCTGGCTCACTGGGTATAAAAGATTTTGTCTAGTCTCGCAGCGATCTATTCGACTTCCGGACCAAACTGTGGAAGCCTGACCCAAGAAGACTGATGCTTTGCACAATGGGCTGGTCTATGGGCATGGCGACCACAGGTAACGTTCGTGGTCGGACTGATGGCAGTCAAGGGTACGTTCAGTGGTTAGTTGGTTAAAATAGATTTTCATTGGTATTCTAGACAAGGAATAGTTAAATGGTAAATTGCTGTATGTTTGAGGTTTTGTTTCAGCACGTGGTCGTTTATGTCGTTACTTTTTGGCCATGCTGATGTGAAGTTCAATAAAATTATGTTCAACGTTTGTATCCATAGTTGCAGTTGTTTCCTTCAGCTTAGGACTAGTAGTTAGTGTGCTTAGTAGTTTTCTAGTTTAGTTTATTATTACCTGACTTATTAGACTCTACACAGAAGATCTAATGCCTGGACTAGAATATTATTGTTTCTAGCCCCCACCTGAACGAATCTATCTATTTCCTATTTTCTTTCCTCATTTTTTTAATAGTAGTACTATGGGGCTTTCTGGCCCTGTTACAAATGGCGTCGTCTGGCAAGGATTTTGGTGGCCATTAGATAATTTGTGTCTAGCCTAGTTAGTTCAAGTAATAATAGTAGTTTATAGTTTAGATTGATTTTTAAATGGCGCCCAACTTGTGGGGCTTCTATATTGCAGTCTTTTGTTGATATTTGTTTAGTTAGATGTGACAGGATTTAATTCACACAGGAGTTCTAGTTTGTGCAGGTAATAGTAGTGATTTTTAAATTTTAAATTCGGTTTTTATGGCGCCTACGTGCTCTTTTATTTCAGACTTTAAATATGTTAGCCCACGTGTGTGGTTTCGTTATCAAAGACTTGGGTTGTTCATAGTTAGGTTTTATATCATCTTGTCCACGGAGTGACTTGTTTACGTCTCGACCTGAACTTGGGGTCAGTTTATCTTGATTTATGTCTCCACATCAAGGTTTAACTGTAGGTCTGTTTGTATAGTAGGGAGCCTTGTTTAAAGTACACCGACCGAGCCACTTAAGCAATGACGTTTTTTAACATTGCTGGTACCAGTTGAAACATTGTAGGCTTCGGCCGAGGTAATTTCGTTCCATTCTCATGTAGGCTTCGGCCGAGGTAATTGTTGAATGTCACTTCGAAGCCAAGCGGTGTTGGCAGTCACGAGAGGATTGTCTCTTGATGGCCGAGCGGCCGAGACATTGGCAAAAGTGGTAACGTGTCCGATCAGTCCATTGTAGGCTTTTTCAAAGCCGAGGTAATTGTAGGCCTTCCATGAGGCCGAGGTGATGTCCGATATGTCTCTGATGGCCACGCGGCCGAGACAAGAGTGTGTTATGTCTCTCGAGGGCCATGCGGCCGAGACAATGTCCATTGTAGGCCTTTGGCCGAGGTAGTGAACGAAAATGTCCATTTGTAGGCTATGCCAAAGCCGAGGTAATTGTAGGCTATGCCAAAGCCGAGGTAATGTCCGATATGTCTCTCGAGGGCCATGCGGCCGAGACAAGAGTGTGTTACGTCTCTCCAAGGCCACGGGGCCGAGACAATGTCTTTTGTAGGCCTTTGGCCGAGGTAGTAAACGAAAATGTCCATTGTAAGCCCTGCGGCTGAGGTATCAAATATGACAACTTAAATACGGAGAATTACTGGACGTCGGAGAGGAAATCCAACTGATCAAGAATCCGGATGTTAACTGATTACTATGTTTTATTGCAGTAACATGTTTTTTTATTTTATTTTAGGTTTTGCTTGTTGTGTTTTAGTAGTGATTTGATATGTGTTTAACGCATTGTTCTAGCGAGGAGCGGATTAATTGGGGGTTTGTTCTACTCTGATGGTGTCTCGGACCCAAGCGCACACGCTAACGTGTTCCGATGATATCGCCATTATTGATGTAGAGGGGGGATTTGTAGTGATTTTGCAGATGGTAGCTGAAACTCGAACGCAAATGTTCACTGGATGTTTCATGACTACTGCCATCTTTGTAATTTCTTTTTTGGGACTTATAATACGTTCCTTATCCAGTTTCCTTGGGACGAGTCATGCTTTGATCATATATCGATGTCAACTATTTTTGGGTGAATGTTATTAATGATACTGCAAGTAACTAGTGATTACGTGATGTTGGGAGGAGTATTTTATTTCAGGTGGCTGTGGCCAGTAATGAGGGATGTAGAACAGGAGTTGGGAGATGATTTTTAGACAATTGATGTTACATATTGTGTAGTTGCCGGGACGTCAACAAAAATAATAATCCGACGTGTAGTAGGGTGGAAGCGACGAAGACTACAGTACAACAGATTAAAGGTCTTTGAGAGGTTTATCCTGGTTTGAAAATGCTAACCGGCCTTTTGAGAAACATTGGCAGTTAATAAAGTATACGAAAGATGGGTAAAAATCTGGCTCACTGGGTATAAAAGATTTTGTCTAGTCTCGCAGCGATCTATTCGACTTCCGGACCAAACTGTGGAAGCCTGACCCAAGAAGACTGATGCTTTGCACAATGGGCTGGTCTATGGGCATGGCGACCACAGGTAACGTTCGTGGTCGGACTGATGGCAGTCAAGGGTACGTTCAGTGGTTAGTTGGTTAAAATAGATTTTCATTGGTATTCTAGACAAGGAATAGTTAAATGGTAAATTGCTGTATGTTTGAGGTTTTGTTTCAGCACGTGGTCGTTTATGTCGTTACTTTTTGGCCATGCTGATGTGAAGTTCAATAAAATTATGTTCAACGTTGTATCCATAGTTGCAGTTGTTTCCTTCAGCTTAGGACTAGTAGTTAGTGTGCTTAGTAGTTTTCTAGTTTAGTTTATTATTACCTGACTTATTAGACTCTACACAGAAGATCTAATGCCTGGACTAGAATATTATTGTTTCTAGCCCCCACCTGAACGAATCTATCTATTTCCTATTTTCTTTCCTCATTTTTTTAATAGTAGTACTATGGGGCTTTCTGGCCCTGTTACAAATATATAAATGCAGATTGTTGGTTCCTTGTCTCTTGGATACATCAAGTTATTTAGAGGGCAGTGGGTGGGTCTTTTAGGAAAAAGAATTAGACACCCCCCCCCCCCCCAAACACACACGGGGGAAATAAAATTCAGAGAATACTAATATTGAAATTATGTTTCTTTACAATATACACTGGTGCTGTAAATTCCACTAGACATTATTTCCCCAGTAGTGGTACATTTTTTTTAATAAAGCTCTTTCGTCTGTTTTCTTTATGCCACCATAGTTACACTACAAACAAACATAAGTAAACTTCTTACACAACAAACTCGTAGACCATAACAATAAGTCAGCAGCAAGATTTATGCAACATGTCATTTGATTTAATCACAGTAAAAAAAAAAAAAAGCAGTTTGTGTAATAATCTATGATTCATATACAACATATTGTGACAAAATAAAATTGCAAGTGATCTGATTCAAATGCATGAACCTTTTATGGTTGTTTTTGCACACTTGACTCTACTTTTTTTTTTCAGATCTAACTTTGAGCACTGATATAATAAAGCTTGATTGTTCTTTTGTAAAAATTGATATGACAGGACTTGAACAATCTGTTGAAAGGAGGGGAGAAGTCAAATGGTGACCTACTGGGAAAAGTCAATTGGTTATACCATAAGCATAGTAATTCAGTAAGAGTAATATACATATTGTTGAATGTTTAGAAGCACTTTCTGTGGACAATGGAAGGACCAGACTCATCGTACTCTTGTTTGGAGATCCACATCTGTTGGAAGGTTGAGAGGGAAGCCAGGATGGATCCTCCAATCCATACGGAGTATTTACGCTCTGGAGGAGCAATGATCTTGATCTTCATTGTAGATGGGGCAAGAGCAGAGATCTCTTTCTGCATGCGGTCAGCAATGCCTGGGTACATTGTGGTTCCTCCGGAAAGGACAGTGTTGGCATACAAGTCCTTACGGATGTCAACATCGCACTTCATGATGGAGTTGTAGGTGGTTTCATGAATACCTGCAGATTCCATACCCAAGAATGATGGCTGGAACATTGCTTCTGGGCACCGGAAACGCTCGTTGCCAATGGTGATGACCTGTCCATCGGGAAGTTCGTAACTCTTTTCCAGTGAAGAAGATGTGGAAGCTGTGCCCATTTCCTGCTCAAAGTCAAGAGCAACATAGCAAAGCTTCTCCTTGATGTCACGAACAATTTCTCTCTCAGCTGTGGTGGTGAAGCTGTAGCCTCTCTCTGTGAGGATCTTCATCAAGTAATCTGTGAGGTCACGGCCAGCCAGGTCCAACCTCATGATGGCGTGGGGAAGAGCATAACCTTCGTAGATAGGGACTGTGTGGGTAACACCATCACCAGAGTCCAGGACAATACCTGTGGTACGACCTGATGCATACAGGGAAAGGACGGCCTGGATAGCTACGTACATAGCTGGAGTGTTGAAGGTTTCAAACATGATCTGGGTCATCTTTTCTCTGTTGGCTTTGGGGTTGAGAGGAGCTTCTGTGAGCAGGACTGGGTGTTCTTCTGGGGCAACTCTCAGCTCATTGTAGAAGGTGTGATGCCAGATCTTCTCCATATCATCCCAGTTTGTGACAATACCATGTTCAATGGGATACTTGAGAGTAAGGATACCTCTTTTGGACTGGGCCTCGTCACCAACATAGCTGTCTTTCTGGCCCATACCAACCATGACACCCTGAAACAAAAATATGTCAGTTACAAACTTGCATTAAAAACTGAATAGCAGCTTTATTATTCTTTAAAGTTATAACTTTCAAGTACAGCCAACTCTGGTCAGATTCCAGTATTCATGTGAAGAAAAGCAGAGGACCGAATCCCCAATGTCACCAGGACAAGAAAAGCAATGTACAGACAATGTCAGTTGTGATAGCCAAGAAAATTGCTGGTATAAGAAGATGGGTCAGCATAATAGGAAAATGCTAGATAGGTTAACATGTAATGAGGTTTGTGACCAGCCTGTTTTAATTCTAGATGTGATATTCACAAATATTTGTTCATGTTCCAGAACTGTGAGTGTACATCTGTTTAACAAATAGTATTTGTATGCAGATATAGTTCCCCATCTATTTTTTAAAAGCTATTTGGCTTGAAGTAATTCTTTAAAACTAGATAAGCAAATATCAGTAGGATTACAGCAGTAAAAAGTTCTGGAAAGTAGACTGCATATATGACCCAATTTACCCTCAACTATTTCAGTCCCAAGGAATGCATCATACCTGCATAGGTGCCTGGAAGCCCAATGAAACTAAAAATGCACCAATATTATATTTTTTACTACACCTTGGGCTTCTAATGCTAAACCCCCCAAGACAAAGTCAAATGCCTCAGCTTTTGTCTTTTTTTTTAAAGCCCAGATTACATCTCCTAGTGCGGGAGAAAAGTGCCCCTTACGAGCTGTATAGTAAAATTTTCAGTTCAAAAAAAAAAAATTACCTGTCATGCGGATCATTAAAATGTCTTAAGCAAATGTACACAAGATCTGTTTTTACTTTCTGAAAGGCTACACTGTTGCTATTTTATCAGGGCCTTTGCAGAAAATGCAGCCACACCCTATCTATGCTTGCAATTGAACCAGCTCGGAACATTATAGCATGATGCCTCACCTCCAATCGTGTGAACTGCTGTCAAAATCTAAAGTGACAAATCTGATTCTTTTTAGCATTATCTACTTGTTATGTAACAGTTGTTATGTATTAGTGGAGGTTGATTTATTATTTAGTTAGGTATGCAGTTACTGGCAAGTCAAATTTAAACAATTTTTTTTAAGTTAACGGCAGAAGTCAGGACTTGCAGGCCTAAAGGTACAAATTCACTTCTGATAAACACAGAAAAAGAAAAAGTTATGGTGACTGCAGATTGAGTCAGCTTTAAGAAAATCTACCGAACTGTGACAAGAAAATGCACAGAACTGTGGCGAGGAGGTTTAACGACAGTGAGAAGGAATGTTTTAGACTTTGACATAAGCCATGCCATTAATAAAAGCTGCAGTTAACATGTTTCTGTGAATGGTATCTTTCCCTTCCCATCGTCGCTAATCTTCATCACAGTTCAGTTGATTACTTCCTGGTTTGTCAGTTTTTCTGTGAATGTTATCTTTCCCTTCATACCGTCGCTAAGCTTCGTCATAGTTCAGTTGATTACTTCCTGGTTAGTCAGTTGTGTATCCTTTTACATGACGATGCAGAAGAGATCCTAGTATTATTTTGCTGTGTTGGTTTTACTTATTTCACATTTAGTAGTTTTCTTTTGCTTTGTGAGTGGCAGGCTCTTGATACCACTGTCAAAATCAATGCAAATGACCTGCTGGCAAATTTACCTGCAGCTTGGATCAAACTGGCTATTTTGGAATACCAAAAGTATGTATGCTCCCAGCATCTAAACACTTCCTGGTAAAGGATTAAATTTTTTTTTTTTTTTAAATAAGCTTTATTCTTGCCACCCTAGGAGGTCTAAAGTGGGACAATTTTTTTTTTTACCCTCGATATTTTTTAGGTTCATTCATTGCCAGGATTTGTATGTGGATGCTAAAGTGTTAAAACCACATCCTGGTATACCTGAAAGAAAGTTCCCACTCCCACACATTCATTTTAGCCTGCAGTGAAACATTTTACATTTGAAAGCCACACTGGCAGATCAGATTAAGGACGCACCATTTTAAAATATATTTAAATGAGTTTTAACTATTTCTTCTGGCCTTTGCCTTTATTGATAATTACATTACACCCTCTTGCAGTCCCAAATGGGAAGGGTTTCATCTGAGACCAAAGGGTAGTAAAGAGGCATAGAATCAGGGAAACTTGCGCTCATTAAGCCTCTAGGAAGAAACATAATATATTCCTTGGTACTGAAAGAGTTTTTGTGGTTTTTCAGACAGCATTATGAGTCGCACCAAGGAATACTTTCAAGGACAACCATGGGTTCCATGTAACTAAACTCCATTGTGAAGATAGCTAATTTTTTTTTTCACTATTAACATTATGGCACTGAAGCCTAATGGGAGCCGCTGTGGTGTGACAGCTAGATAGTTGCCTTGGGATTCGACAGTCATCAGTGCTTTACTTTTTTTCCTTCTTCAAAAATTATCTTGCCTCCATGATGACCCAGAGCCATAATGTGCTGGTCCATAAAATATAGCCTATATTATAGGTCTCGGCCTATGATAATATATGTATGTCCAAAATGCCTGAAGACATGGGGAAAAGGGCCCTTTACTTTTTATGTTACTGCAGCTATTAACTAATGACACCCAGTGAATCAGGGAGCTTGAGTTTACTTGTAGTACAAGTACAAGTTGTACTTTTTCTAAGCAAATCCAACTGGAGCATATCTTAAAAATCCCATTACTCTGGCATTACCCATACACTGTAAAACATGACTGGTTACACCCTATGGTAACGAAGTACTTGCTGTGTGTCCTATGTGGCATTGGTGCACAATAAGTGTTCAGTATTTTCAATTCATCAATATTATGACAGCATTTTTCAAACACAAATTCATGTATTATTATTAACCCTGCAGTAACAACGAAAGCTGACTAGCTACACTGGATCAACTCCAATACTCTTGTCTTAACCTAGGATTGAACACTCCACGAGGTGAGACCGCTGTTTCGTCCATCTCTTAACGATATCCTCACACTTGTAATGACTACCTTTTGCACGCCTGCTTTGAGTTTTTCCCTCCAGTATGGTTTTTGTCACCATTTATGTGGGCGACAAATATTTTTTGAAAAATTAATTTCTTATGCTTCTGTCTCGTCCAAACCAACTGTTAATTTACTGTATAATTATTTCTAAAACTTATAAAGGCAATTAAACGTCTCTGTTAGAGAAAATGACCGCAGTCCTGTGGAAGTTAAGTTTCCCTTACATGGGGACAAAGAATAATTCTTATATTTTATTTATCTCACCTGATGGCGGGGTCTGCCAACAATTGACGGGAAGACGGCTCTTGGGGCATCGTCTCCAGCGAAACCTGCCTTGCACATACCAGAGCCATTGTCTACAACAAGAGCAGCAACATCGTCGTCACACATGATGATAGGTTTTTGGTTGGTGAAAGTAGTAGTACTAATCAAAAACAGAAGGAACTTGCTCCGCTCAGATCTCCCAAGTTTGAGTGAAACACAGTAACCGCGAGGAGAACTGGTTAATATAACAATTGCTTGACACACGGAAATGAAACGTGACCAACCCCGGTATGGCCTTATAAGGAGTCGGCTTACAACTGTTTCCACGAAATCGCCCGCGAGTCTGTCCATATATAGAAATACCAGGCCAAGCAGAGGACGACAATTGGTTGGCTATTGTTGGAGCTTTGTCGATCTGCGCTGTCAGCGAGGCTGCGACTGTGAGACACGTCGTTGGTCTCGCTGGTAGCAGGGGACGCGTAGTTTGCCTAGCCTGTTCAAGTTCCCAAGGACATCAATCTCTTTCAAATATTCGTCCTACGTGAATTGACACAAAGTGGTCATTTATGGGTCGCAAATTTTGACAGTACATAACATTGTTTGAATTCTGCGATGTAAATTTAAGAAAATATGTAAGAAACAAAAAGACATATATTGAGCGGCCCTCAAAGACAGAGTATATAACTTTCTTAAATGTAACTACACCCACTTAAACGTTCACTGATCCTATAATTTGATAAATCGCTGAGTCAGATGCAATTATTTCATGTATTATCCACATAAGATATCAAGATTTAACTTAAATTATGCATGTATATTCGATTCTAGTTCTTCTTCTTCTTTGTTCGCCGGCTATAAGTTCCGGTGGAAAATCGTGGTAGTTCGTCCATTTGGACTTTGGCTTGTGCCAGGGCCTTAGTTTTGCGTGCTTATCCGTATTACATATCTGACTTATTTGTATGCAGACTGTAGGTTTCTTGCCTTCAGGCAGGTGCACTCCGGCTTCGAAAGACCCTCCTCCCCCCGGTCCAGTTGATCGACTCTTAGGATATGCTTGTTGGGGGAGGCAGGGGGGTCTATTCTTGTTTTTCTCACAGTGGGGCCCTGGAACCCACACGGGGAAGCACGCTGTTTGGCATGCTTGAATCATTTTTTTTTATCCGTTTAGTTGTTTCAGTTGTCTTCTTTGACCTTCCTTGTTCATGCGGCTAATAGTGAAGGAAGGAAAGGCCTCTTGTCGTGAACAAGGAAGGTTTTTCTAAATGAGGTCTTAGACGGTCATTGAAATTACTAGAAGGATGTCACGATACAAAAACAACAACAAATACAACAACACACAAAGAAGATCGCTGACACTAGTAGAAGGATTTGACAATAGGTTAGTTGCGTATCCTTTACAGGACGTTGCAGAAGTGGTTTTTCTAGGCAAATTTACGTCCAATAGTTTGCCACTGCTCTCTGGACGGTCGGCTTTCTTGATACCACAGTCGAAACCAACTCAGGGCGCATGGCCCCCAGCTGGGATCGAACCCGGCATCCCGGCATTAGGAAGCGTTTGCCTCGATTTATTATGACAATAGAGACAACAATAATACACAATCTTCTTATTTTTCTTACCAGTCATGTTTGCCCTTTAGCGTCAGGTTTTGAAGAGGCATCTAAAGCGAGCTTTGGTATGTGCTACATAGATGCTGTATTCACATCCTCGGATATTCCATCGGTGCATCGTTTGCGTGGTCAACCTCTGGATCTGCTTACATTGTGACTGCATGACATAGCTCTCTGTAGTTCACTATCTGGTGGTAGTAATAACAAACAATATTGAATCATAACTGATATATTCCTATTCGTATAGAATCTATGGGCACTCGACAAATGATATACTAAATATAACGCTGGTCGCAATTACTTTTCAGAACATTTCTAATTTTACACTAAGCCCGGGTTAAAAAAAAAAAAAAACTCGACATATGAAGATTCAAATATGTTAATAACAGAACAGAGGCGACTGAAACGTGTGGCATAGGTATCTTGAGACCCCCCTTTCTCACACCCGATTTCTCCATAGAATTGTAACGGGACTCACTGCTGCGGCCTCCATAACCATGTATTTAACTCTTTTTATGTATTCGTTAAAATGTTTCATATTATTATTATTTAATATTTTACTACATTTTTTACCATTTAGCCACATCATCACTACTGGTATTACAATGCAGTTTAATTAGTGGAAAGAGACAGAGAAGGCTAAAGGTGACTTCGTAACCGTTCTATCGTGACCCAGTGAGGCTGTGTTTTGTTTAACGATTAAAGGGGCTTCCGGTATTTGTACCTGCTTGAGATGTTAATCCTGGATCCTTGTGTGCGTCCCGGCAAAACAAGGATAGGACAGCTGCCTATCCCCCCCCCCCCCCCCCCCCAAAGCAAATTGTAAGAGTCAACGAATTAGGAGCTTCCTTCGAAGTTGGAGTGCATCTGTCCACTGCCCACAAATAAGCCAGTAACATGGATGTACACGCAAAATTCAGGCTCTGGCGCGAAACGAAACGAAAAGTCCAAATAAAAGAACAACCAGGTCTTTTACATTAACATAAATTGCAGAGTGCCTTGGCTTATCGAAGTCACGATCCGCAACAAATACAATAAGAAATGGCGCGAATCTCCGTTCGTCCGTACCAGGACATCACAACAAAGTCAAACTGATATAAAGATGTTAATTGTAGATCTAAATTTCTTTTAGTTAATCTGAGTGTTTCTAACAGAGAAGCCATGAAGAAAATGTAAGCACATATTGATAAGAAAAGCCAGGAAAAACCCAAACATGCCAAAATATGCCAGTTCATTATCTTATGCCAGTTCAATTTCAAATATGCCAAATTTGTGGAATCTGGCATAAAAAATGCCAATATGGCAACCCTGGTTTAAGACCCCAAAGAGAGGACCCAGAGATGTTCAGACAGAACGTCATACGCAGTGATGAACTTTGGATGTTTTACATCAAAATTGAAATGTTTTCCCTTGCATTTAGATGGTGTTTTTGACGTTTAGATGGTAGGTGTTTTTCTAGATATTTTCACTTGGAGTCAGAAATTTTATAGATTTTTCTTTCTTTCAGTGTCAGTTTAACAATTACTGTGTAAAATATTTATTACAATAATTTTGTTTTGGTCTGGCACGTACATTGCGACAATTGCGATTACTTAAACTTTGAACTCTCACTGGGGTCAAAACTTAAATATCTGGCAGCCCTGATTCTCATTAATTAAAAGCACGCGTAAAACATACTAACTTTTTTTCAACCGTAGAGGCTTCCTGAAACTCTAGATGTATTGAAAAACACTTCACTCTTTTCTGTGAGCAAAATACTTCGGCCAGTAAAGGACATATCTAAATATTGCAAAGTTATGAAATTTTTAGGGGCTACTGATTCCGTTGAAGCAGAGTATCAGTAAACCAAAATAAACTTAGTTGAATGGACAAACAAAACAGAAACTGAAGCGTTTTGGAGTGAATGGAGACAATTTAAAGATGCCTCATCAAACAGTCCATTCTGTAAGCTCTTTAAATGTGTCATGTCTGCCATAATACTACCCCACTCAAATGCTGAGGTAGAAAGAGTTTTCAGGGCTATGAATTATATCAAATCTAACCCAAGAAATATGATGAAATTTGACCTCTTAAATGCTATCTTGACAATAAAATTCGGTCTGGTGAGAGTAGGAAAACGCTCTTCCACTTATCAGTCCCCTGATTGTGTATTAAAAGAAATTGGAACGGCTAAAGCCTACTAGAGTCATTTTGGATCTGAAGCTTCAAGTTCATTATCCAAGCTAAGTTTGTCCTGTGGATCTTGTGAGGCAGACATCAATGAAGATAAGGACATGATTCTATAGAGTAAGTCATTACAATAGCTATGAAATTTGTGACTTTTACCTTTTGGATATATTTTCTAAATGTTTTCTGCGCAAATTTAGATGTTTCTAGATATTTTTGACTGTTATGGATGTTTTTTGTCAAAAAAAGTGGCAACACTGGGGCAGTCAGGGGAAGTAATCCACAACTACTGGCACTTCAAACCATTTAAGCATTCGAACTTGGGCGCATTATAATTATAACAAAAGCTGTCTTCATGAGGTTTTACCATGGTAAATTTTTTCCATTTCAAATCAACAACATCAACGAACTCCACCCTTTTTCTGCTGTGTTTTCATTAAAGAGGGTAAAATTAAGCAGGATATAAAGCCAGGCGTTTCTCACCACACAGTCATTCGTGCCTATAAGGCATTCATATCATTTTAATCCCCAGAAATCTAATGTGCCTTCTTCCTCCTTCATCTCCCTCCCACTACTACACGGGCTCAAAGGTCAGGGTTAACTTTTGTCCCTCTTCAAATCTTCAGAATGCGTCTAGCGACACCACGCGCAGGGCTATCGAAGTTGGTACTTTCGTACAAATTTTTTAACCCTGCCACGCAAAAACTGTCCTTTTTGCACCATGTGCGATGTTTTGATACTTTTCAGAAATTTTGCACAAGTAGTTTACAGTGGCATTGTGTTGAGTTGACTCTGAAACTTTGAGCACAACTAGAAAAGATGAAGCCTTATCACAGGTTTTCGAAAACTTAGACGAATCTTTGGACCCATCAAAGATGCAAACAGCGGGGAATGGAGAGTGAGAAGCAATAATGAAAATTCATAATCTGTTTAAATCACCGTTGATCACTGGTATCATGAGAGCTAATAGAGTGAAAGAATGTCAGATGACAGAGAAGTAAAAACTGTATACACAAGGGATATGAATGGTCGTAGACCACGAGGTAGACCAAGAATATATGGAGAGATAATGTCCAGACAAACCAACATACACTTGGTGTCACCAACTGGAAAGAGAAGGCCATCCAGAGAGGTGACTGGAGGGGGGTGATATCTGCAGCAGTAAACTTCAAGGTCTGGGAATGCTGAAGAAGAAGAATTGTGTTGAGCTGAGCCTTCAAAATAAAAAGTGATTGGCAGTGTTCTGAAAATACGCGTATTTCATTGTTGAAGCAAATGTACCATTTGACGGATTTGGTCAAGAGGCAGGGGCGGAGTAGCCATCTAGCTCACAAAGCACGAGCTTATGGCAT